TCTTTCCATGGATGGAGTGTCAAAGGATTTGTGGACATGTTCTAAAACCACCCCAGGGCAGAATCTTAAAGACCCTAAGAACTGAGGCAAGGGACAAAGCACTGAGAAACAGGTGAGGAGTAGCACTGCAGAGCTTTCAGGCTTCTCCCAGCTGTACCTCCAGGAAACCCTAGGCTGCAACAGAAGGGAACGCAACCATCTCCCATGGCAACCATCTCAAAGGAGGGAGGAAAGATGGGGGACAGAGGCAGACTCTTCCAGCACCCCTCCCCCATCCTTCTGATACTACCTTCTTGACCCTAAGAGCTAGTCCCACAACCAACCCCAATGCCAGTTTCTTTTAGGACTTTGCCCAAACCAAGGAAACCTTTCTTCACAAGCTGGACCTTTTTCAGGACAAAAAGGGACAGATACAAGTCAATGGCTTCTCTCTGTAATATTCTCCCCTTTATCATCAAGCCAAATCAGAACCAAGAAATATTCAAACAATATCTAACTGAGTTTTAACCCTCCTCGGCTGAGATAAAGCTCTTGTTTTTCAACCTTCAGGTATTTTGGATGCTCTACTTTCTTGGAAGAGTGCCATTGGGCTCAGGAGGAGCTAGCACTTAGATCCTTCCAAGGGACAGAAATGAGGGACAGTGGTGATGGCCACCTGACTCCATGTGTGAACATCTATTCACAACTGTTCTTTCACTGGGGACACCCAGGGGCGGGTTCGAGGACAACTCCCTCTTATTCTTGAATAGCAACAATAAAGTGTAAGTAAGCACAGCTGCATAGGACTTACAGTCAAAGAAGAGAGTTCCAGTGGGAATTCTGCAAACAGCAAAGTTCCTCCATTGCGGCAACACCTGCTTTTTGTGAGGAGGGTAGGACTGTGTGGCTACTGGTTTATACGTACCGTCTGTCATTTCCACCTTTTCCTCCATGGGGGGAAAAACAATTTTATGACAAATGTCAGGCAGTCTTTAGGCTCATAAAAAGGAATTCAGACAGTGTTCTCTGGGAGTCATGAGGTGGGATTATTTTGAGTCCCGGTTACAGAAACCCATGGAAGCCAGCTTACATTTGTAAGGGAAAGCTTACTGGAAGGGTCCTGGCATTTCACACGGGGCGCAAGGGCAGAGATACGTCGGGGCCTCTGAAACAGGCTCAGAGAAGGCTGGGACCGGCACACAGGAAGTCTCCTTCACCTCATCAGTCTGAGCCGGCGTCTCTCAGCCTTCCTTCCAGATTCCTGGAATGATTGGCCAAACCTAGTCAGGTGCTTATCTCTGGCGCAATCAGCTGCACCCAGCAATAGGGTGTGAACCGGGCTCCTCTCCTGGTTCACATGTGGATGAGAAGATGTGAGATTCCCAGAAATCGGGGAGGGGAACAATGCAATAGATAAGTGATCCCTCTGGGTGGCTCAGAGTCCCCAGGCCTCACAGAAATAAAACTTAGAGAAGGGAAAAAAAAAGTGGGGAATGGGCAGACTTCTTGATTTGGCCACGTTCCAGACACTCCCCTTGGGGTGGATGAGGCTGGATTATGTCCTAGGAGTAAAAGCATCCTGGCTATTTCTCTATCTAGTGACCAGGTGCAGCCAGTGAGGTGGTCTCATCACAAAACCATCCTTGCTGAAGCTCATCTTTCCCAATGCCTTCCAATACCATCTACGTGGGCAATGGGGTCACTCATCTGGAGGCACTGGGGGCCGCCACTTAGGTAGGAAAACCTTCCTGAGAATGGATCCAGCCACGAGAATCCTGAATGATTCAGATCGATTAGCTTTAGCGTGGTAAGGGAACTGGATGCAGGTTGCAGGTGGGCAAAGGTGGACCAATTAGGATCCTGCAGCGGGAGCCCAGGCAGCTTCAGCCAGGGTGAAGACTGTGAGGATGTAGAGACGCTGAAGGACTGAAGAGACCTTTAACAGATAAGATCAGCAGGGCTTGGCAAACAAGGGCCTCTCAACTGCCCTGCCCAACTCCAATGGCCTCCTCCATTCCACTGACACACCAACTGCAGGGAATGTTCCAAAACGGCACTTTCATTCATTTCGTGGTAATATTCTTCCCCAGCAAGGCACACATACCTGGCTACATCAGACTGGACACAACAGAGGGTCAGATAATAACCTGTCGCTGGCATAAATGGGCACAATGCTAAAATCTCTATTTTTAACTCTCCACTGTCCGCAAACCTGCTGTGTGAGATCTCTCTTCTCTACGTCTGGATTATATTACAACCTGTAGCTTTCTTTTAAAATTTTTATTGAAATTGAAGATGCATATAAAAAAGTACACATAAGGGTATACACTCAGTGAATTTTCACAAACTGAATATACCTGCATAATTAGGTTTCCTATAGGTTTCTGTGTCACTTTGGCTGTTAGAACAATGATAATTTTGGATATTAATAGATCTAATCTAGGACCAAGTGTCCATCTTTCATCCAATTCAAAGCTTGTTCCCTTTCCCCCAACTGAGCCCCAACTAAGACTCAGAAACTCGGCAAACTTCTTGTCCCAAGAAGCCTCCCACTGTGCTTCCTGAACAGCACAGGACAGCCTCCTTTCCGCAGCTCCACCAGCGCTCAGCTAGGAAGGAGAGGCTGCACTCTTCTTCAGGAGAAGTGCCCCAAGTCTTTACAAATGGTTCTTTCAATGCCCCCCAACTGGGCTACACAGGGCCAACTCCTCAAAGAAATGACTGTACAGGGGCACCTGGGTGGCTCAGTCAGTTGGGGGTCTTCCTTCAGCTCAGGTCATGAGCCCAGCATCCTGGGATTGAGCCCTGCATCAGGCTCCCTTGCTCTGCGGGGAGTCTGCTTCTCCCTCCCCCTGCTCTTGTGCTCTTGCTCTCTCTCTCTCTCTCAAATAAATAAGTAAATAAATCTTCTTTAAAAATGACTGTACAGTCTCTTCCTGGTTGATCCTTTCCTCCCATTAAATGTGTATCAGAAGAGAACTAAAATTGATAAATGCAAAAGAAAATGCCAGAATTAGAAAATCACCATTTTGGAATCCCTAATGAAATAACAGCTCTAGGTGGTGGCCATGAACAGCGAGGAAAGTCACTGGGTGAGGGGCCGATGGGGTGCACTCCGACAGAGGGACTGAGCTGGTTACAACTAAACCCAGTGATGAATCTCAGCATCCTAGAAGTGATTCAACCAAATACTACGTTCCTTCTGATATGATGCAACAGGAAAACTACAGCACCATCTGTAAGTATTCTTATCAAAAGAGAGAAAGAGAAAATTGGACACAAATCTAACCAAACCTCAGATCTATTACCAGAAAATTACAGAAGAACACTAAACCACATTGTGAGAATGCTATCAGCCAAATCCAGCTTGTGGGAAATTCTACAGAACAAACGACTCAATTTTCCAACAAATATAAAGGCACAAGAGGTGTGACTTAAAAGGGATAGTGCTGGAGAGTTTTTTTTGGGGGGGTGAAGAAATTGTTCTGTAACCTGATTGTGGTAGGAGTTACATGAATCTACACCAAAAAGTCAATTTTACCATATGATAATTTACTTTTTTAAAGATTATTTATTTGAGTGAGAGAGAGAGAGAGAGAGTGAGCTGGGGGAGGGAGAGGCACAAGCTAACTGTCCTGAGCGCTCAGCCCAAAGCAGGACTCAAGCTCACAAGCCCAAGATCATGACCTGAGCCAAAACTAAGAGTCAGACACTTAACCAACTGAGCCACCCAGGCTCCCCTACCATATGATAATTTAAAAACAAAAAAATTTCAGCGGCATGAAAGGTTACAAAAGGGACTATGGAGGGACACCTGGGTGGCTCAGTCAGTTGGGCGTCTGCTTTCAGCTTGGGTCATGGTCCCGGGGCCCTGGGATTGAGTCCCGTGTCAGGCTCCTTGCTCAATGAGGAGCCTGCTTCTCCCTCTGCCTGCTCTCCCTGCTTGTGCTCACTCTCTCTCTCTGACAAATAAACAAATAAAATCTCAATTAAAAAAAGGGACTACGGAGAACTACTAGAGATTAATAAGAGACACAAGTCAAGCAAATACAACGGGTAGCCCTGTTTGAATCTGGATTCAAAGAAACAGACTTTTTTTAAAATTCAAATTCAATTTAATTAACATAAAGTGTATTATTAGTTTCAGAGGTAGAATTTAGTGATTCATCAGTTGCATATAACACCTGGTACTCATCACATCATGTCCCCTCCTTAATGCCTGTCACCCAGTTACCCCATCCCCCCATCCGCCTCCCCTCCAGCAACCCTCAGTTTGTTTCCTAGTTAGGAGTCTCTCATGGTTTTTCTCCCTCTCTGATGACTTCCCATTCAGTTTTCCCTCCCTTCCCCTATCATCCTCTGCGCTGTTTCTTATATTCCACATATGAGTGAAACCATATGATGATTGACTTATTTCGCTCAGCATAATACCCTCCAGTTCCATCCACATCGATGTAAATGGTAAATATTCATCCTTTCTAATGGCTAGTAATATTCCATTGTATGTATGTATATATATAAAAGATGGGGTATATATATACCCCATCTTTTTTTTTTTTTTTTTAATACCACATCTTCTTTATCCATTCATCTGTCAGTGGACATCTTGGCTCTTTCCACAGTTTGGCTATTGTGGACATTGCTGCTATGAACATTGGGGTGCAGGTGGCCCTTCTTTTCACTGTATCTGTATCTTTGGGGTAAATAGTAGTGCAATTGCTGGGTCATAGGGTAGCTCTGTTTTTAACTTTTTGAGGAACTTCCATACTGTCTTCCAGAGTGGCTGCATGAGCTTGCATTCCTACCAGCAGAGCAAGAGGGTTCCCCTTTCTCCTCATCCTCGCCAACACTTGTTGTTTCCTGTCTGGTTAATTTTAGCCATTGTAACTGGTGTGAGGTGGTATCTCATTGTGGTTTTGATCCGTATTTCCCTGATGCCGAGTGATGTGGAAGCATTTTTTCTTGTGTCTGTTGACCATTTGGATGTCTTCTTTGGAGAAATGTCTGTTCATGTCTTCTGCCCATTTCTTTTTTTTTTTTTTTTTTTTAAGATTTTATTTATTTATTTGACAGAGAGAGAGACAGCGAGAGCAGGAACACAAGAGGGGGAGTGGGAGAGGGAGAAGCAGGCTTCCCACAGAGCAGGGAGCCCGATGTGGGGCTCGATCCCAGGACCCTGGGACCATGACCTGAGCCGAAGGCAGACGCTTAACGACTGAGCCACCCAGGTGCCCCTCTTCTGCCCATTTCTTGACTAGATTATTTGTTTTGGGGGTGTTGAGTTTGATAAGTTCTTTATATATTTTGGATACCAGCCCTTTATCTGATATGTCATTTGCAAATATCTTCTCCCATTCCGTAGGTTGCCTTTTAGTTTTGTTGACTGTTTACTTTGCTGTGTAGAAGATATTGTCTCCATGAAGTCCCAATAGTTCATTTCTGCCTTTGTTTCCCTTGCCTTTGGAGATGTGTCTTGCAAGAAGTTGCTGTTCCAAGGTCGAAGAGGTGGCTGCCTGTGTTCTCCTCTATGGCTTTAATGGATTCCTTTCTCACACTGAGGTCTTTTATCCATTTTCAATTTATTTTTGTGTATGGTGTAAGAAAATGGTCCATTTACAATTGCACCCAAAACCACAAGATACCTAGGAATAAATCTAACCCAAGAGGCAAAGGATCTATACTCAGAAAACTAAAGAATACTCATGAAAGAAACCGAGGAAGACACAAAGAAATGGAAAAACGTTCCATGCTCATGGATTGGAAGAATAAATATTGTTTATTTATTTATCTGTGCTACCCAGAGCAATCTACACATTCAATGCAATTCCTATCAAAATACAATCAACATTTTTCCCAGAGCCGGAACAAATAATCTTAAAATTTGTACGGAACCAGAAAAGACCCTGAGTAGCCAGAGCAATGTTGAAAAAGAAAACTAAAGCTGGGGGCATCACAATGCCTGACTTCCAGCTCTATTACAAAGCTGTGGTCATCAAGACAGCATGGTATTGGCACAAAAACAGACACATAGACCAATGGAACAGAATAGAGAACAAAGAAACTGACTTTTAAGAAGACATTTTTAAAACACTGGGGACACGGGCGCCTGGGTGGCTCAGTCGGTTAAGTGACTGCCTTCGGCTCAGGTCATGATCCTGGAGTCCCGGGATCGAGTCCTGCATCGGGCTCCCTGCTCGGCAGGGAGTCTGCTTCTCCCTCTGACCCTCCTCCCTCTCCTGCTCTCTGTCTCTCATTCTCTCTCAAATAAATAAATAAATCTTTAAAAATTAAAAAAATAAATAAATAAATAAATAAAACACTGGGGACACTATATCTGAAACGAATGATGTACTATATGTTGGCTAATTGAATTTAAATTTAAAAAAATAAAACACTGGGGAAGATGCGAATGTGTACTGACTAGTAAAGAGTACGATGCTATTAAGTATGGTGTGATAAATGAGATGCCGATAATAATATGGCGGTTATGTTTTCTAAAGTCCTTATCAGTGAGAGAGACATCCTAAAATATTTAAAGGTGAACTGATATGATGTCTGGGATGTGCCTTAAAATACTCCAGAAAAAATACATATAATATAGTAAATACAGGGGCGCCTGGGTGGCTCAGTCGTTAAGCATCTGCCTTTGGCTCAGGTCGTGATTCCAGGGTCCTGGGATCGAGCCCCGCATCGGGCTCCCTGCTCGGCGGGAAGCCTGCTTCTCCCTCTCCCACTCCCCCTGTTTGTGTTCCCTCTCTCGCTGTGTCTCTCTCTGTCAAATAAATAAATAAAATCTTTAAAGTATATATATATATATATATATATATATATATATATATAGTAAATACATAGTGGATGACAGAATGAAGGATGAAGAGGGGGTTTTGTCTCTGTGTTCACTCTGTGCCCCCAATATCTACTTACTGGGGTATGTGGTACACAATGAACACTTAGCCAACATTAGCTGAATGGATGAACAGCCCACTCGAATTGTCACTCCTGTCACTGCCTGTGCCCTAAATTGCCACCACACATGGCTCTGTGACAGTTCTACTTCTTGGCTCTCCTGTCACCCCCTAACTCCTCTGGTACACAGTTCTGCCACTGCTTGTTGGTGAACCCCTGTCTAAAGTCATGCTCGGTTTGCCTTCGGCTCGGGTCATGACCCCGGGGTCCTGGGATCGAGCCCTGTGTCAGCGGGGAGTCTGCTTCTCCCTCTCATTCTGCCCCTCCCCCTGCTCATGCTTTCTTTCTCTGTCTCAAATGAATAAATAAATAAAATCTTTTTAAAATTAAAAAATAAGTAAATAAAGTCATGCTCAGGAGCACCTGGGTGGCTCAGTCGATAAAGCATCTGACTCTTGATTTCAGCTCAAGTCATGGTATCAAGGTCATGACATTGAGCCCGGCATCGAGCTCCACACTCAGCATAGAGTCTGCTTGAGATTCTCTCTCTGCCCTTCCCATCACCTCTCTCTCAAAATAAATAAATAAAATCTTAAAAAATAAATAAATAAAGTCATGCTCAGATAAAAGAAAAAGGTAAAACTCACTGTCTTCACTGGTACCATCTCCTCCAAAGTTCAGTGCTCAGGTTCAACACAAGTTTTGCCTTTTCACTTAACGGTTTTCACTCTGCGTATGAGCTCACAGTAATGTGGCCCCGCCTACCTTTCCAACGGGGGGCCCCCCCCCACTGACTCCTACTATGAATGCTCTACACTCCAGCCCCACAGGCCACTTACTGTTTACCACAAGCACGTGACGTTTCAAATTTCTCCACCTCTGTACTTTGCCTTTCCTCCGCCAAGGACGCTTCTTTCTCCTTACACATCTGGTGAGCTACGTTCATCCTTCAAGAGTCAGTCCAAACACAAACCTCCCTCTGAAGACTCCCCCTGACCCTCCCCCTCCCATCTCTGTGCTTCGAGACCTCAATCGGACTCCTCTGTGTTTTATTTCTGTTGTGACTACAGGGCTGCCTCCCCCAGGAGACAATGAGTCGTAACAGTAATAGCATAATCACACGCCAATCCAGTGCTTACTAGTCACTAGTCCAACCATTTCACATACACTGACCTTTAATCATCAAAAAAAATCATAGTGTAGGGCGCCTGGGTGGCTCAGTCGGTTAAGCGACTGCCTTCGGCTCAGGTCGTGATCCTGGAGTCCCGGGATCGAGTCCCGCATCGGTCTCCCTGCTCAGCGGGGGGTCTGCTTCTCCCTCTGACCCTCCCCCCTCTCATGCTCTCTGTCTCTCATTCTCTCTCAAATAAATAAATAAAATCTTTAAAAAAAAATCATAGTGTAGATACTATTATTTTCCCAATTTTACAAAGGAAGAAATGGAAGCACAAAGAGATGAAATAACCTTCCTAAAGTAATGTAATGTAGTAATGGTAGAGCAAATGCAGGTGGTCTGCATACAGTCTGCACCTTTTTTTTTTTTTTACTATCCCAAGACTGCTCATTATTACAGTGTTCTCCAGACTGCTCTTTGTGATGTAACTGTTTCAAAACCTAGGAAGCTATACATCCCTTTATTATGTTTTTTTAGTTTTTTAAAGTAATCTCTACACCCAACGTGGGGCTCAAACTCACAACCCCAAGATCAAGAGTTGCATCTCTACTGACTGAGCCAGCCAGGCGCCCCTCTTCATTACGTTTTCGTCTGCTGATTGATGTGGGCCCCTGGTGTGGAGGCAAGCACAGCCCACCCTGCCTTACGTAACTATCCTCTGCCACCAGAAGGCCAAAGCTCACAAGCTGGTGGGCCTGTCAGTGGAGAACACCCACATGTTCCTTTATTCTAAAGGATTCTGTAATGGCCAGTTACACTGTAAGAAATATGTAGTGGATAATCTCTAATATCATTAAATACTTTTATCCCATATATCATTAGGTAGCATCTGTTTCTCTCCAACCTGAAACTCTCCCAGGACTGCAGCCTTGTATCTCCAACTGCCTATTTGGCATTTACATTCAGATCTCAAGATAATAGTTCTTGATTGTCCCCCAAAAATGCAATCAGAGAGGGGCACCTGGGTGGCTCAGTCGGTTAAGCATCCGACTCTTCATTTCAGCTCAGGTCATGATCTCAGGGTTGTGGGATCGAGCCCCGTGTTGGGCTCTACTTGGTGCAAAGTCTGCTTGAGAGTCTCTCTCTCTCTGCTCCTCCCCGACTCCAACTATAAATAAATAAATAAATAAATAAATAAATAAATAAATAAATAAGCACACAATCAGAGAGATCCCCAAGTTGTAGCTGGGAACGTGGACACCCATCAGCCTCCCTTGCAGGGAGCCTTGGTCATGTGGCAGAGTCTGCACTCTTGACAACAATCTTAAATGTAAGATATGAGCAACCCTCTCCCATATGAGCAACCTCTGCTGGCTCTAGTGTGAGCTTCCCAAGTGTATTTTTTTTTTAAGATTTTATTTATTTATTCATGAGAGAGAAAGAGGCAGAGGGAGAAGCATGTTCCCCAAGGAGCAGGGAGCCCGATGCGGGACTCAATTCCTGGACCCCAGGATCATGACCTGAGCCGAAGGCAGACGCTCAACCATCTGAGCCACCCAGGCGCCCTTCCCAAATGTATTTATCTACAGAACACACTTTAAGTTTTAACAAATTCACGAAATGACCACGGGATTCAAGATATGTACTATATGGCTGAATTTCAAAAGGAAAAAAGAATGAAAGGCTAAAAGGGAGGGGTGAATGAACAAACACAGGGAGGAAAGAAGAGAGGGAGGAGGAAGGGAGAGATCAAGAGGGATAGTGGGAGGGAGGAAGGAAGAGGGAAAACTGGTCCCAAAACTCAAGAAAGGGCCAAATCTGAAAAATTAAGATCTACAAAATATTGTGCAAAATATTAAAAAGCACCTAAATAACTGAAGAGGCATATCATATTGATAGCTCAGAAGACTCAGTATAGTGATGTCAATTCTCCCTAAATTGATCTATAGATTAACACAATGCCAATAAAAGTACCAGGCAGCTATTTTGTAGAACTAGACAGGCTGAATCTCAAATTTAAATAGAAAAGCAAAGGATATAGGATATTCAAAACAGTCTGGAAAAATAAGAGCAAAGTTGGAGGACATATGTTACCTGACTTTCAAGACTTACTGTAGAGGGCGCCTGGGTGGCTCAGTTGGTTAAGCGACTGCCTTCGGCTCAGGTCATGATCCTGGAGTCCCGGGATCGAGTCCCGCATCGGGCTCCCTGCTCGGCAGGGTGTCTGCTTCTCCCTCTGACCCTCCCCCCTCTCATGTGTTCTCTCTCATTCTCTCTCTCTCAAATAAATAAATAAAACCTTTAAAAAAAAAAAAAAAAAAAAAAAAAGACTTACTGTAGAACTGACCATAAAGCTAATCTACTCCATTATTACGTAAGTTAGTGTATGAAATGGTAATATATATTATTAGCAATGTGATATTGGCACAAGGATAGACATATAAATCAATGGAAGAGAGTCCAGAAATAGACCTACACATATATAGTCAATTGATCATCAACAGTCTCCAAGGTAATGTAGATTAGTCTTCTCAACAAAAGGCGCTGGAACAACTGGATATTCACATGCAAAAGAGTGGATCTCAACCCTAACTCATACCACATGCAAAGATAATTCAAAATAAATAACAAACCTCCATGTAAGAGTTGAAACCATAACACTTTGACACAAAAAAAATATAAGAGAAAATTTTTTTAACTTTGATTTGGGTGAAGTTTTCATAGGACAAAAAAATATCAACTATAAGAAAAAAAACTAATAGACCAGACCTCATCAAAATTAAAAACTTGCTCCCTTCAAAAGACACTGTTAAGACAATGAAAAGCCAAGCCACAGAGTGGGAGAAAATATTCATAGAACACATATCTAATAAAAGAATTGTCTCCAGAAAATATAAAGAACTTTTACAACGCCATAATAACAAGACAAACAGCTCAATAAAACAAAATGGGCCAAATATGTAATAGACACATTACCAAAGAAGATCTATGAATGGCAAATGAGCACATGAAAAGATGTTCAACATCGTCAGTCACCAGGGAAATGCAAATTAAAACCAGAGTGACTAAAACTTAAAAGCCTGTCAATACCAAATGTTGGTGAGGATGGACAGCAACTGGAGCACTGCTGGTGGGAAAGGAAAATGGCACAACTGCTTTGGAAAAGAGTTTGACAGTTTCTTGTAAAGTTAGACATACAATTACCATATGACTCAGCTCAATTCCACCCCGAGGTGTTTATCCGGAGAAATGAAAACATATGCCCACACAAAGACTTGACGATGTATGTTAATAGAAGCAGTAAATCATGTTCAAAGCCAAAAACTGGAAACAATCCAAATGTGCATCAACAGGTAATCAGGTAAACAAATTGTATTATTTCTATACAATGGAGTATTACTCTGCAAAAAAAAAAAAAAAAGGAATGAACTAAAGATGAAATAGAAATAGATACACTTCTCCCTATTCTTCCCACTAAATATGAACATTATCTAGAAAACACACACAAGAAGACGCTAAAAGGTAGAGACAAGACAGACTGGCTAGGGACCTTGGGACCTCAGAAATGACATGGTAGTGAGTTCCTGGGGTTTTTGCCTCAGATATCTGGGTCTGGATGCTGGAGAAGCTGCCAACCTGAGAACACCAACAGGTACAAACAAAAAAATCCCCAAGAAATTTCTCTGGCCAACAGAAGAAGAAAGGGGGCAGACTAGCAAGACGGTAAACTTTTAGACACAATTGCTCTATGCCAGCCAAACACCCTGAAAAGGACCACAGCCCCATCAGCACCCCCATCAGCAAATGCTGAATGGACAACCCCAACCTCTACTCTTTTTTTTTTTTTCCCCAACCTCTACTCTTGTCTGGCTGTAACGAGGCACCTCTAACATTCCCCTGCTGGTGTGGTATCAGACAAAATTGGGTGGGAGCCGGGACTTTCTTCCCTACTTGGTGTCGATAAGGCTGCCCTTCCAAAACATCAGGAAAGACCACATGGGGAATCCTAGACTTCCATCCCCACCCAGCCATAACAAGGTGCCACTCCCACCCCACCAAGTCAGAGGAGGCCAACTGGATTGGCAGAGTGGATGAAAACGCACGCCCCAAGAGCACTCTGTTGAGTGAAAAACAGCCGATCTCAAAAGGTCACATACTGTATGATTCCATTTGTGTAACATTTTAAAAATGACAAAACTATAGAGATGAACAGATTAGTGGTCACCAGGGGTTAGAGATGGTGAGGGGAGGAGGGAGAGTGTGAAACCGGGGAGAGCTTTGGGGAATGGAAGAGCTCTGTAGCTTACTTGCAATGGTGGCTGCCCAAATCTTCACGTGACAGAATGACACAGAACTATCCATACCCATTGTACCAGTGCGATTTCCTTTGTCCTAGAGCTAACATTAGTATGCACATGGGACCTCTTTGTCCTATCTTGGCAATTTCCTGTGACTCTATAAATATTTCAAAATAAGGAAGTCCTTTTAAAGAAATGAAGGGCTGATAACCAAAATAAAGTGGTTAAATCACAAAGACATTACATTGAGTGGCTACAAAAGGCTATATGATATATGATTCCATTTATATGTAACCCTAGATAAGACAAATCTAACCTATGGTGACAGAAAGCAAACCACTGTTGTTGCCTAGGGCCAGGGAGGCTGACCGATATGTGGCACAAAGAAATATTTTGGGATAATGAAAATATTCCATGTATTTATGTGGTCATAAGAATGTATAAGTCTGTCAAAACTCATGGGAATTACAATTACATGCATTTTATTGTATATAAACTATACCTCATCAAAGTTGATTTAAAATTACTTCACAATAAAACCAAAAAAGTCCCTAGTCACATAATTTCATGAAAAGAAAAAATACTCTAATATACAGTAAAATATTCAATTGTACATTTTTGTTATAAAATACGGCATACTTGGCCATCTGAGTACCAACTGGCTGAGAAAGTCAAATCCAACTGTAACACCACATATGTACACAAAAGCCTTGCTAACATAGATACTTGGTCTGTATATACCTTCCAAAGTAATATTCATATATTGGAGACCCTCCTGTTATCCTCAAAGACTGACAGGTGGAGGCTTCATGGCCCATTTGCGTTGATCAATTACTTCACTGGCCATGCAGAAGTGTACCCCACCAGAAACCAGAAGGTGACCACAGTTGCAAACAAAATGAGGGTGAAAGGATTCCTCAGTATAAAAATTTCTTATATAATTCACTCAGATTACAAAGAGACCAAGATCCCACTACTGTTGAAATATTCTACTTGGCCATTATACCAAAGTACAGGGTCACCACCAAATAACTCCAGAGAAAACCCCCAACCTAAAAATTTTCAAACAAATTTCAAAATATTGGTGACAGACTCTCTGTACTATCTTTGTAATTTTTCTGTAAATCTGAAACTACTTTAAAATTTAAAGTTATTTTATTTTATTATTATTTTTTAAGATTTTATTTATTTGACAGAGAGAGACACAGCGAGAGAGGGAACACAAGCAGGGGGAGTGGGAGAGGGAGAAGCAGGCTTTCCGCCAAGCAGGGAGCCCGATGCGGGGCTCGATCCCAGGACCCTGTGATCATGACCTGAGCCGAAGGCAGACGCTTAACGACTGAGCCACCCAGGCACCCCAAGGTGACCTACTTTAAAGTACCTCCTCTAGGAGAGCTGATGGGACACCCTTCCTAAGCTTGGGGGGGGCAGGCACCAGGACAAAACTGGACCCCCCAAGAAAACAATTCTTCAGAAAAAAACAAAAAACAGAGGATTTCTCCTTTTGACTATATAAGGGAAAAAAAAGAAATATTAAGTAATGAGTCAAAGTGATAATATAAGGCCAATCACTGGGCAAACAGTTTTCTCAGACCCAAATGTACTGTCCTTCAAACGGCCTGACTCACCCAGAGAGGTTCTAGAAACATAAAAAAGCCAGCAGATGCCCAATTCCTGCCCCTGAGAGAAGTTCCCAAGCAACTAAGAGAGGAGAACCATCTGGAAAAGGACCCCCAGAAAGACAGCAAGAAATTCACTCCACATCCAAACTCACTCAGATCCCAGGCTGTCTGGGAAGAACGCTGCTCACAGGTTGGCACGCTGTTTTAAGTCACTCTTTCTTGGACCCAGACCACAGGTGCCCTTGTCCCCCAGTCCAGAAACTGTACCCCTGCCTTACCCCTTGCATTATTCAGGATTCTTTGTTCACATGTAACAGAAAGTCAATTCAAAGTGGCTTTTAAAAAAGAAAAGACATTTATTGGTTCCCATAATTTAGAAAGTCAGAAGTAGTCTGACCTCAGATGTGGCTGGATCAAAGGGTTCAAACAATATCATCAAGATTCAGTCTTTCTCGTCCGGGGCCCACCTTTGCTTTCCTCTATGTCGGCTTTATTCTCTGACAGGCTTTCACCAAGTGGAAGGCACTGTGGTCAACAGGCCTAGAGTCTACAAGGTTGGCAGCCATGGTGGAAACACAAAGACTTCATTCCTCCTATTTCCATCAAAGTCTCAGAAGTAAGCCTCAGTGTCTCTGAGGAACCCATCCTGGGCCATGTGTCCCCCTCTTGACCGACCGCTGTCCCAGAGGACACTGCATAGTGTTCAGTGACCCGGTTACCAGTGGACAAACGAGCAAAACCAGTGGACACCCTGGGATTTACCAGCAATCCACATTCCAGTAAAGGCAACAAGAGTCTGAAAACAAAACAAAAACAAACAAGCAAACACACGAATCTCTGACAGACTGAGCAGGTTTTCGGATTTGTTCTCCTCAAGGAAAGAGTAACAAGTACTGACACATTAAACTTAATAAGCTTCTTTGAGGAGTCTGGAGTTACGAGTTCATACATGTAAAAAGCACGTAGATGAATGTCTGGCCCAAGGTAAGTACTGTAGAACTGTTAACTAACATCACAGAAGCTCCTGGAGAAGGAAGAAGAACATATCCTAACAGGCAGGGTGGAAGTGAATAGTTTAATCTAAATAATAAAGAAATGTAAGCCAGTTTTGTAACAAACTGGGGAAGCAGGATATATTGGTTAAACTACTCTTGCTTCTTTGATTCATAGTTTGAGAATCACAAGACTGTTTCAAAATATCTTTTCAGTCCCCAATACAAGGGGAGTTGATAAGGAGTAAATATCAATGCTGATTACAAGTTGGCGGGCTGAAAGAAACTGGAGTCTACCTTCTACACCAAATTCTAACCATAAACACAATAGGAAGTATATTATAGATAAATGAACACCTATGCTCCAAAATTAGAAAGTGAGTGGTTGGTGGGAAAGAGAGGGAGAACTTGCTAAAAGACAGAAGTCATACTAGATGGAAAGGGAAAACCAGCCTAGAACATCAGCAGGAATAGAGAGAGAGGAATCACACTCTGCTCCTCACCAGCAGCACATCCATCCACTTCCAACTTCCAGTGGAAACAAATACAGAGTGCAACTGTGTCAGCAACACCAGCCCCTCTCCCCAGCGGGGCTGTGAGCACCAAGACAGCGCACAATCGAATAGATAACACGAACTATGAGGAGGATAGAGTTCTTTTATGAAGAAAGAATTAGCAGGCAGTTGAGAAGTTTCCAGCCTCAGAAGACACACACTCAAAAACTGGAAGAACTTACTGAACTCTACCTCTGAAACTAATACACTATATGTTAACGAACTAAATTTAAATAGAATAAAGATTTTTTAAAAACTGGAAGAACTTAAACCCAATGAAATAGAATTAATAAAGTATCAGAATAGGACTTTAAGTATAAACAATATCTTCAGAGACATAAGGGTAGATAGTGCAGTCATGAAGCAGGAACTGGAAATTATTAAATGGAACAATGAGAGAAGCTGGAAATAAAAAAGTGTAATTGTGGGGCGCCTGGGTGGCTCAGTTGGTTAAGCGACTGCCTTCGGCTCGGGTCATGATCCTGGAGTCCTGGGATCGAGTCCTGCATCGGACTCCCTGCTTGGCAGGGAGTCTGCTTCTCCCTCTGACCTTCCTCCTTCTCATGCTCTCTGTCTCTCATTCTCTGTCTCTCAAATAAATAAATAAAATCTTTAAAAAAAAAGTGTAATTGCTGAGATTACAACTCAGTGGCAGAATGGACACAGCTAAAGAGCAAATTTGTGAGCTGGAAAACTCAGCCAAGGAATGTTCTCAAAGTACAAAACGCAGAAATAGAAACACTTTTATGATAAAGTGAAAAAGAAATACTAAGGAACATGGAGAATAAATCCAAAAGTTCTAACATCCATCCAAAAGTTCAAGAAGGAGAGATGAGAAAAAAATGGAAGAGTGGCACTATTTAAAGAAAAAAATGTTCTTGCAAGTAATCATGAAGGACTGGGGCTCTTCCCCCTTCTTTCCTCTCATTCCTTTCTCCACCAAAATGCCAGTTAAGGGACATTTTTTAAAACATAATTACAAAAGGAATTAGAGATTGTTGGTTCACAAACTGGCCCTGTATGCAGAGGGGGCAGGGAGAGACTGAAAAAAGAGGCAGATCACCCTAGATTGGTAGGTGGCAATTTTAATAAGCAAGGGAACTTACTTACGAGGCTTGTCTCGGGTGGCTGTAAGATGAGCAGATCTCCACACCTGCCTGACAAATCTTAAGTTTGTAAAGAAGCCATAAGTGGGTTCAGTCCCATATACCATCCAGATGGTCTCAACAACACATTGTTCTCTGTGTCCTTGAAAATGGCTCCCCCATGGGAATGGTGGGGAGAACATACATTCCAGGTGTAGGGGAGGTGACAAGGAGTCTCCGATTGCCTTAGTCCAGCTCTTGGGTGAACTGTGATCACATTCTCTTGATTACCTCTCCCAAAAAAGATGATGCAAGAGTAGATAAGAAATGACATCTATAGTTTGGAAGCTGAAAGCACGTGGACAAGTGGTAATTAGTTTAGCAGACTAGAGAAAGTTAAAAAGTCAAATGTCTACAGGGTATGGGTGGGCCAATCAGCTCAGATCCCCCACAAAGGCTCAGGAACTGGGATACCAATGAACCTTGCAGTTACGGGTGTAGGTGCGACTGAGCACAGAACTGCTTGAAAATCCGAATGAGAAGCAAGCAAATGGCCCCCACAGTCCTTTATCGGCCCACTCAGGCAATTCTCTCTCCTTCTCCTCAAGAGAAGACTAAAAGTTTATCCTCTTATAAGGCAATGGGCCCTGGACTCAGGACATCAGGTGGGTGTGCCCTACTGAAAACAGAAAATCTAAATGAAAGCCAACATGCCAAATGGTGAGTGCCTCGTCCCCTTTCTCCAAATCCTGCCAAGAATGCTGATGGCCAGGCTTACACACCCCAAAGAGGAAACTGGAATGTTGCTCTCTGGAGAATCCAAGCATCCCACTAGGAAATGCCTAAAGATAATGATACTAAGATCCCACACCAATGGCCAGGTCTCTGCTCATTCCTTGGACAGCCCCACAATGGGCTTTGTTAGTGCCTCAGGCTTAAATATGAAGAGAAAGCCAAGGATCACCAGACATTTAAAAAGAGAAAGGGACTCAAAAAACAGGAATAGTGCAGGAATAGAAGTTTTTTTCAACTATAATTACCCTGTTCAGAAATACTAGAGAAGATTTAGCATCCTTGAAACAAGAGAGGGGTGGGGGTTTTTTTTAAGTTTTTATTTAAATTCCACTCAGTCAACATACAGTATATAATATTAGTTTCAGGTGTACAATATAATGATTCAACTCTTCCATACACCACCCGGCGTTCATCACAAGTGCACTCCTTATTTCCCATCACCTATTTCACCCATCCCCCCCACCTACCTCCCCCCGGTAACCATCAGTTTGTTCTCTACAGTTATGAGCCTGTTTCTTGGTTTGTCTCTCTCTCTTTTTTCCCTTTGCTCATTTGTTTTGTTTCTTAAATTCCACTGAGTGAAATCATGTGGTATTTGTCGTTCTCTGACAGACTGACTTAGCATAATACTCTCTAGTCCCATCTGTGTCATCGCAAGATTTCACTCTTTTTATGGCTGAGTAATATTCTATTGTATCTATATACCATGTCTTCTTTGCCCATTCATCAATCGATAGACACTTGGGCCGTTTCCATAATTTGGCTATTTTGTAGATAATACTGCTATAAACATCTGGGTGCACGTATCCCTTGGAATTAGTATTTTTGTATTCTTTGGGTAAACACCCAGTAGTGCAGTTGCTGGATCCTAAGGTAGTTCTATTTTTAACTTTTTGAGGCCCCTCCATACTGTTTTCCACAGTCGCTGCACCAGTTTGCATTCCCACCAACAGTGCACAAAGGTTCCTTTTTCTCCACATCTTTGCTAACACCTGTTATTCCTTGTGTTGTTGATTTTCACCATTCTGACAGGTGTGAGGTGATATTTCACTGTAGTTTTAATTTTTATTTCTTTGATGATGAGTGATGGTGAGCATCTTTTCATGTGTCTGTTGGCCATCTCTATGTCTTCTTTGGGAAAATATCTAGTCATGTCTTCTGCCTATTTTTTAATTGGATTATTCATTTTTTTGGTGTTGAGTTTTATAAGTTCTTTGTATTTTTTGGATATTAGCCCTTTATCAGATAGATCACTTGTAAATATCTTCTCCATTCCATAGGTTGCCACTTGGTTTTGTTGTTTCCTTCACTGTAGAGAAGCTTTTTATTTTGATAAAATCCCAATAGTTTATTTTTGCTTTTGCTTCCCTTGCCTCAAGAGACATGTCTAGAAAGAAGTTGCTACAGCCAATATAAAAAAAATTACTGCCTGTGTTCTCTTCTAGGATTTTTATGGTTTCAGGTCTCACATTTAGGTCTTTAATCCATCTTGAAGGTATTTTTATGTATGGTGTAAGAAAGTAGTCCAGTTTCATTCTTCTGCATGTTTCTGTCATGTTCTTCCAACATCATTTGTTGAAGAGACTGTCTCTTTCCCATTGGATATTCTTTCCAACTTTGTCCGAGATTAGTTGACCATAGAGTTGTGGGTCCATTTCTGGGCTTTTTATTCTGCTCCATTGATCTGTGTGTCTATTTTTGTGCCAGCACCATACCGTTTTGATGACTACAGCTTTGTAGTATATCTTGACGTCCGGAACTGTGATGCCTCCAGCTTTGCTTTTCTTTTTCAAGGTTGCTTTGGCTATTTGGGGGTCTTTTGTGGTTCCATACAAATGTTAGGATTGTGTTTCCTAGCTCTGCAAAAAATGCCGGTGGTATTTTGATAGGGGTTGCACTAAATCTGTAGATTGCTTTGGGTAGTATAGACATTTTAGCACTATTTGTTCTTCCAATCCATGAACATGGAATATCTTTCCATTTCTCTGGGTCATCTTTACTTTCTTTCATCAGTGTTTTATAGTTTTCAGAGCACAGGTCTTTCACCTCTTTGGCTAGGTTTATTCCTAGGTATCATTGTTTTGGGTGGAGCAAAGTGTTTTTTAAAAGTAACAAAGAACAAAACAGAAAAGATTCAATAGCAGAAACATTTTTAATTTAATAGAAAAAGTGGAAATGAAGTTCACTACTCCAATAGAGTAGTGAAAAGGAGCTGGAAATTAGAAGAGACAATATGTGGACTTTTTTTTTTTTTAAGTAGGCTTCACACCCAGTTTGGAGCCCAATATGTGGACTATTAATTGGATGTCTAAGTCACTGTATTTTGAAATTTCTTTGTTATGGAAATTAGCCTATACTTACACTAACAAAAATACCTTCAAAATTCTGAGGGAAGTTCATTTCCCATCCTGGATTCCAGTCCTAGGCAAATTACCAAGCAAGTGTGAGTTGAATAAAGACATCTTCAAATATGCAAGATCTCAAAAAACTGTACCCCGTAAGCTCTCCTTCTCAGAACGCTGCTGGAGCAACTGCTTGTGCTGGACCCCTTGTGCACCAGCTACACGAGAAATACCTAAGTACCGCCTCACTAACCATTGTTCCATATAAACCACCGTATCTAACATGGACCCCTGAATTCTGGAATACATTTTAATGAAATCATCTATACAGATAGGGGACCTGCAAAAAAGTATTCACTTGAGACCCCGCACACCCTAGAGGCAGCCCTAATGGAGACTTTTACAACACTGAAGAGGTTGTAAGTAAGCTTTGGGAAGGGATTCATTACAGGGATCAGGGCAGAAGGTGACAATGAAGTACCAAAGAGAGAATGGGTGATGAGACTCTCAATCAAGCCCATGACTGTTCCGGAGCTATTCCACCTGCTTGTTACATGTGTGACTTTGAGGACATCCCTGCCCCAATTTGAGCCTTAGTACCTTCATTTATGAAACAGTAGTAATAATATCTACTTCTCAGAGTCTTGTAGAACTAATTAGATACATTCATTTTCTTACTTTCATCAAACACACACACACACACACACACCCTGATTGTAGCCAATTGTTTGGGGATGGGGATGGCAGTGTATGCATCTTAAGAGAGTCAATCTTTGCTCTCTTCAATTTACAGACACTCATGGAAAAGACAATGATGCCTGAGAATTCAATCTTGGGAAGTCATTTCTTTATGTAGCTAAAGTAGCAGATGGCCTATTATTTACAAAACACCTTGAAGACCCATTGTGGTTTCAGAAAGCCCGGAGACAGAGCAGAGTCTGAAGAAGAGTGAGACTATGAGAAATAAGTTGTTTTACACAATAAGAAAAATACAGACTTTCCTCAAGTACGCCATTGCTGAGGAGAGGACGGAAGTGGGGAGAGGAGGTAAGAGGGCCTGTGAATAAATAGAAATAAGATCAAGTAAGAAATTCCCACAATTCACCTGTGGGTTGGGTATGGGGGTGCCAAGGATCAGGTCAACCAGAGAGAAGTTTCTAGTGGAAGGAATAACTGCAAAAAATGTTAAGGATATAGATGGCCAATATTAAGTCTTACAAGTGATCCTGGCTTTATTTTAAATTTTGATATCTTAGTTCATCACATATTTTTCTTTGCATTCATTTTGATTTTTTAAAATACTGCATCGGGGCACCTGGGTGGCTCAGTCGTTAAGCATCTGCCTTTGGCTCAGGTCACAAGCCCAGGGTCCTGAGATCGAGCCCCGCATTGGGCTCCCTGCTCGGCGGGAAGCCTGCTTCTCCCTCTCCCACTCCCCCTGCTTGTGTTCTCTCTCTCGCTGTGTCTCTCTCTGTCAAATAAATAAATAAAATCTTTTAAAAATAATTAAAATAAAATAAAATACTGCATCAAAATATTTTATATCTTGATTACTGAGTTTTGGGGGGCCCCTTAAATGTTGTGCCCAAGGTGAGCGCCTCACTCACCTCACCCTAGTCCCTGGTCCAGCTGTCACCCTTTCAAACCTTCAGTACGAGTCTGTCACATGGAAGGAACATCTGACGGCCCAGGGACACAGACCATCAGGCAAGACACGAAAATTATCTGGAAATCAATGAGTAAGAAATTTGATTAATGTAGGATTACAAGATAAACATTAGAACAAAGAGAAAGATAAACAGTGGCCAGGATCCCAGAGAAGGAGTGGAATTTCTGTATCCCCCATGGTAGACCCCACACTCCTTTGTCCTCTACCCTTTGTTTCTTTCTTTTTTTTTTTTTTTAAAGATTTTATTTATTTATATGACAGAGAGAGATAGCGAGAATAGGAACACAAGCAGGGGGAGTGGAAGAGGGAGAAGCAGGCTTCCTGCCGAGCAGGGAGCCCGATGCGGGACTCGATCCCAGGACCCTGGGATCATGACCTGAGCCGAAGGCAGATGCTTAACGACTGAGCCACCCAGGCACCCTACCCTTTGTTTCTTTAAGATGGAGTGGGAGATGCAAGACACCATGGGTGTGACCCTCTAGCGCAGTCCTAAAAGATCAGCCAGGAATTGGATATTAGGTCTCTAAGAAACAGAGAGCTGCAGTTGGGGGTGGAGAGAGGACCCAGGATTAACTCCTCAACCCCTTTATGAAATGCTGAGAAGAGCCAGCTTTGGACCAAGTAAATCCAAGTAGTTTCATAGATGCCAGTCTCACGAAAGTGGGTCTATGAGGCCTCTCTTGACACCATGTTTGCTTAAAATGCAAGTTGATAACATGTAAGAATGGGGCCTGGTGTCCACACCTGCTCTACCTCTGATGTTGGGGAGTAAGAGCAAGGGAGGGGCTCATGTCAGCCTCTGACAGAGCCTCAGGATCCCTGTTCCACCTGTTAATGATCTGGATGATTGCAACCTTTTCTTTTTCTTGTGTCTAGCAACCACGCAGTGAGTACTGCTGGGGAAATCACACCCCTGAGCCATATTTCTCTACCTTCTTCTCCATTATCACCCCCTTACAAAACCTAGAAGACACTGGTTTCTTCACTGCTTTCTGCCCCTACCGCCTGAAATGTTAGTACCTTAATATACCTGTTTGCACGTGTGATCCTTCGGAGGGCCACCAACCACTGCAATATCGGAGACGTTGCCCGGCCCGTGTGAGCATGCAGGGTCTACGCCCATGTCCTGGGTGCCTTTCCTGGATTTTATCTATCCCTCAGGGTCTTCCCTCATCACCCACACCCCTGTTCTCCTGGACCTCTGCCAGTCACCCGGCCCCAGCTATGGCCCTCCTTTCTGGGAGGGCGCACCACACCCTGATCTGCACTCTGCCTCCGTCCCTCTGCGGGACCTGCTCTCCATCCCACCACAAAGAGCGCCGTGTCCCCCACACACGCTCTCACCCAGCAACTCCACGCGGAAGAACTCGGACAAGCACTTGCCTGGCAGATGGCAGAACTAAATGCAGTGCTTCACCACAACTGTTTCTACCCAGCTGAAGAGTTTCAAGGGCCAGGGATATCGAGTAAGACTGGTATGCCCGATCCTTAGTGGACCTAACTGAAGGACAATGGGACCTGTTTCTACCAACTGTGTAGCAGCCTTTCGAGGGACAAGCTTTCAACTTTTAATTAACATAAACACTATGAACACCCCCTCTTTAACCGTTAAAAATTTCTGATTTATCACTGTCCACAAACAGTTCAATGTGTGTCCAGGTGAATTCCTCTGCCTGACAAGTAAAGACAGCATTGTTGTTTTCAGTTTATCTATTTTATTCTTGTTTTAGTGGGTTTTTTTTTTTTATTCTGGTGGTCTTTTATTCTTTACATCTTTTTCTTGGACTCTAATCCACAGAAATAAAACCACCAAGTGCATAAGAATGTAAGTACAGGGGCGCCTGGGAGGCTCAGTCAGTGAAGCATCTGCCTTCGGCTCAGGTCATGACCCCAGGGTCCTGGGATCGAGTCCCGCATCGGGCTCCCTGCTCTGCGGGGAGCCTGCTTCTCCCTCTGCCTCTTCCCCTGCTTGTGCTCTCTCTCTCACTGACAAATAAATAAATAAAATCTTTTTTTTTTTTATATAGTGATCCACGATTCATTGTTTTCGTATAACACTCAGCGCTCCATGCAGTACGTGCCCTCCTTAATACCCATCACCGGATAAAGAAAATCTTTAAAAAAAAAAAAGAATGTAAAAAGAATGTACTTGCCCTTCGTAGCATTCATCACATGAACATGGAGTACCACACAACTGTTTAAAAGAATACGTCAGATGAATCACTACTGAACTCCAGACGTTTCCATCAGCAACATCTCTTAAGTGAGAAAAGCGAGCTGCAGGAAAATGTATACAAAGATTTTTTTAAACAACCAAAACCAACCACTCCTAGAAGTGTATTCATGAGCGAAGAGGATTCTCTGAATGCACAGAAACTTGAGCAGACCCTTTGGGCTTACCGTGGGTGTACCTGCTAGGATTGGGGTAGCAGAAGTGGTGGGAAGGAAGGCAGCTAAAGGGTAAGAATGTGTCAGCTTTTTTTCTCTCTGAATGGACACAGCTCCCTGAGAGCAAACCACCTTTGACTCTTCTCTGAGCCTTGAACGTCCCCCTCTCTGGCACCTTTCTGAGGTCCCACAAAGGCCCTTCCTTCCCTGCCACACACTCCCCATCTCCCACCCTGGCCTAATAGTCCCTTGGTCTGCAGAATAGGTGGATGAGGAGGAGGGGGTAAATTTGCCTAAAGGGCCCAAGACACTACCTGGAAGAAAAGAGACTGAGATTCTAATTCTTTTTTCACATTGCTCAACATTAACCAAGTCCTCTGTGGAAGACTGAGAAGGTTCTACTAGAGATCCACCAGCAGGAAAGAACACGAGGGGTCCCAAGAGGGAACCCTCTGTGAGGAAAGTGGCCGCTCAAATGACCAGGCTCAATGCCAAGGCCTGACGGTTTAAGAGGCTAAAGCTGGACGTGGCCCTGGCTCAGGCCCCCTCGCACCAGTCACTCTTGGGGACTGTGCCCGAGCCCGTGTGAACTAAGGGTTTGGAAAGCCCAAGTGTCTGTCACCAATGGTGGCCTAGACGAGAATCCCCGCAGGCCTGGAAACCCACCCGTTAGACCTTGCAGGACAGGGTTTCTGCAGCTACACCCCCAAACAAGGACAGAAGCAAGCTGCGACACTCAGACGGAAGGGCTGGACTTGTTGCAAGGACGGGCGAGCGAGTCCTGAAGTGACTGATTGCAAAAACAGATGATATCATTTCTCCCCTGCAGTCAGGTCCTGTATCTGCGCGGCCTAACGTTACATAGTTTACACTGCCGGGCTTGCCTGCCCGATTCGTCCTCGGGGAACAGAGAGAAACGTCTGCAGCCCCGTGCTGAATATGGGCCCCACACAGTCCTGTGGCGGGCGCAGTGGTGTTACCCTCTCAACTGACTGCGGGCACGCGAGAAAGGAAGGGGATGAAATTATTCTTAGGTTCAGAAAAACACTTTCACAAGCCTTTCTGGCTATGAAATGTCAGGGCCACCCCTGTCACCCCCAGGCCCCAGGGATAACCTAACGAGGTAAGCTTTGATCAAGAAGTTCAGCTGCCCTGCTCGGAGAGGTCATGGGACTGTGGGAGCTGGCTGGCTGCTGACACAGAGGATGGGGTCTGGGAGTCTGGAAGAGGGGGTGAGCTCAGCCTCGGGGTGCTCATGGGGCAGATGAGGACTTCCCTACCGCAGAGGGCCAGGCAAAATCCAGCCCTTGGCCCTTCCTGCACCACACAGAACAAAATGGTCATCGTAAGGGAAAAAAAATTTAAGAGGTTTAAATCTCCCTATTGAAAATAAGAGACTGCCCCCCTGTGCCCTTGTCTGAGGGCATTTACGTTAGAAAACGTGTCATTTTACCTTCTTTCTCTGTCTCTTTGAAACGTGTGTAAATCTTTTTAGAAGCTAAACAAGCCTCTAGTCAGCTTTATGATCCAGGAATGTCTTTCCCAAGGGCCTGGGATCCACCTCTTTGAAATGTCAACATCAAAGGAGATCGCATCCCTCTCTCCTGGCTTCTGTGGGAGGCTGGAAGCCTAACCTGGGTGGGCTCCGTGCTCCACGTTGCAAAACCGCCTCCGATCGTAAAGATACAAGAACTTTGTGTTTCTTATGATTTCGCCTGGTAATAATACAGACGGCCATCAATTACCAGGTAAAGTTAGGATGAACGGTGTGTAGCAAAAGGTGCCATCAAGCCTCTTGAGGGCTGGATACTGTTTACCTTGAGAGCGTGTGTGTAATGGGCTGCACCCGTTCGGCTTATATGGCTGCGGAAGATTTCTTTCTGCCTTTGCGGTCTCTTAGCGGGTTGCCAGGGAGGCACATCACATTCTGGTCTAATGCTTCTTCAAAAAGAAAACTGTTTCTTTCTCTGCTACCTTTTGTGGAGAGGTTTTTCAGGGCTGGGAATTTTTGTTTTTAATTATATTCCCCCAACATAACGCAAGTGCTTAACAAGGAAGAAGAAAAGAAGTGGGAGGAAGGTTCTAGAGGAGTAAGACCCCTAGTGGGAGTCTGGGGTCTTTGGAGGGACCTGGAGAAACTGTGTGTGGTGGCGGAAGGCAGAGGAATTTCTAGGAGGGATGCAGACATTCAAGTGGAAATCGTTTACCATCTGTAAATAACAGACTAATAGCAGATGAAACATACTGGCATCATCTAAGTATTTTAAATATATTAACTCACTTAGCATATGCGCTAACTAGGATTATTCTCGATTATTCATTCCTCCTTTGCCATGTGACCCTGCAGTGCACTAGACAGGACAGAAAATGTGTCACAAAACAGCAGGGAAGCAGGTTGAAGGATGGACTGATTTGGGCAGTAGGTCTGAAACAAACTCTCTTATAGGCAAAAATGACCTTTTGGGGTCTCCGTGGGAAAGGTCAGGTCCAGCTACTACACAGGATGGGAATGTGAGCCATTTCATTGGGTGACCCCCAAAACTGGAGGAACTGGGAGTCGGCCAATGGCAGAGACACCCAGTCCTGAGCACAGAGGATGTAGGGAGGAGTGGGCCTAGAAATAAGAAAGGGAATGGCACCCTAGTAAGAACCAGATACTTCTGTGAGGTTGGAAGACTGTCACGTGGGTCTAGAAGTCCTCTTGTCCCCAATAACCAACACACCAAATCATTTTGAGGGTCAGGCTCAAGAAAGCAGATTTACCTTGCCCTGCCCTGGCCCAGGCCACCAGACATACCCTGGGAACCAAATGTTTACAGTGACCTGGAGCAGGATCTAGACAGGGACCTGCAGGAGGCTTCCTCAGATTCCTGGGCGGGGGGGGGGGGGGGGGGGGGGGGGGATGGGTGACAAAACCTGAGTCCTGAATCATCCTAGTGCTTACAAAGTCCCTAACCAGCACTGGCCCCTAGTTTCCTGCCCTCAGAGCCACGCAGGAAATAGCTGGGGGGAGGGGGGAAATAAGGACAACAGGGCTGATGAAAGAAGTGGAACTTAAGGCCTAATAAAAGCTGCTTACATACAATTTTTTAGGAGAAAGCTTTTCTGATGGGGAAGAACGCATCAGGGCCAGTCAGATGAGGACAAATACAAATTAATCTGGAACAGACTGCAGGGTAAGGGGCTGCGTTCACCTGGCAAGGACAAAGGTCATGGGAAGCACCCTTGTATGCTGGGTTCCTACCTGACTCCATAGGGCACCCTAACACCTGAGTCCCTAACATTTTCTGCTCCCACTGAACGTCAGACAAAAGGAGCTTTCGCTGCCCTGCCTGTTAGGCCTCTCTCTGTTTCCGGTGTATCTAGGGTCCCAAAGCCAGGACGTGTGAAACTGGGCTTCGGACAGAGGGGAGCAGGCCTTTGAGCTGCTACTTTTCCAGGTTCTGCGGAACCCCCGTCATTTCCCGCAGGACTGGGCTCCAGTGCGGTAGAAATCGGGAACCGGGAGCCTACGGGGCGGGGGGAACGCGGGTGGGTCCACGGGAGCCCAGCACTGCCTCCCAGGCCAGCCTTGCCAGGTGCGGACCCAGAGAAGGGGCGACTTCCTCCTCCTTTGCAAGACCCACTCACCCTCTCTTCCTCCTGCTTTCCCAAAGGCCTGGATCCTCATCCTTGCTCCCTCCAACCCCGAGGCACCGGGGCCCACGACCCCCGCCCCCCAAACCCCAGGCGGGGGGCGCCCAGAGAAGCCCGGCTGCCTCCATCCTCTCGGCCCCGCGCAGGCCCCGACCCCTTCATCTTCCCGCAGCTACGCCCCACCCGGGGCAAGGCCCTGCCCCACCGCCTGCGCCACCGCCTGCGCCACCGCCTGCGCCACGGCCACAGGTCCGGGCTAGTCTGGGGCGGGGACTGGGGAGCGCCCGGAAGTCGTGAGAAGAGCGGGGACGCAGACCATCTTTAAAGGCCCGCAGCCACCCGAAGGTGCCTCGACAGCCGCCGGCGGCCCCGGACGATCCGCAGCGGCACGCAGCACCCGGCTCCCGCGCCCGAGCTGCCGGGGCGCCATGGGCCGCTACCGCATCCGCGTGGCCACCGGGGCCTGGCTCTTCTCGGGGTCGCACAACAGCGTGCAGCTGTGGCTGGTCGGGGCGTGCGGGGAGGCGGAGCTGCAGCTGCAGCTGCGGCCGGCGCGGGGCCAGGTCAGCGGCCCGGGTCGGGGACCCCCGCCCTCGGTCCGGCCTGGGCTCGCGGCGGGAGGGCGGCGGGGTCGCGGGCGGCCGGCGGACGAGGGACACAGCGCGACCGCGCCGCCGGGGACTTGCGGGGGCGGGGAGAGGATCCGGAGCCAGGGCCCCGCCTGGCCCCCAGCCCCTCCTCCCTCCCGACCTGGTCCTCGCGGCCTCCACCGCTTCCCTAAGTGACCCCAGGGCCCGTGTCAGTGCGGGGGTCAGCGGTCCGGCCAGAGGCTGCTCAGAGCGTGCGGGCGCGGGGACAGCTCCGGGACGGACCGAGGTCGGGGACGTCGTGCCCCGCGCTCCCTCGTCCTCCCCAGGCCCCGCGGCTCAGGTGCCCGGAGCAGGGAACAGATGTCTCTGGAGGCCTTGGGCAGCGGAGGCTCCGCAAAGGCGCCCCCAACTCGAACTACAACGGCCTCTCCTGGGTCCCTGCTGCTAAGTGTCGCGGGTTGTGGTCCCCACAGGAGGAGGAATTTGATCGCGACGTTCCCAAGGACTTGGGGCCCCTGCAGTTCCTGAAGCTGCGCAAACACCACTCCCTGGTGGACGACGCGTGGTTCTGCGACCTCATCACAGTGCAGGGCCCGGGTGCCTGCGAGGAGGCCGCCTTCCCCTGCTACCGCTGGGTGCAGGGCCAGGGCGTGCTGAGCCTGCCCGAGGGCACCGGTGAGGGCTGGGGGGGGTGGGGGGCGGGGACGCGGGGGTGGCGACCGGGCAACCGCGGGTGGAGTGGGGGTCGGGGCTGGGGAAAGTGGGTGTTGGGCAGATGAGGACAAGACAGGGATCGGGGCAACGTTCTACAGTCCCGAAGTTACACCCAGGATAAAGGGCTCCAGGGAGCCTGGAAGGGAAGCACGGGATCTGCAGCCGCCCTCTTTCAAGGAGGGGACGGGCCTGGGGGTCACAGCGATGATGGAAAATGGGAGATCAAAGAGACTGGAAAGGAGATCTGTGGCCGCACAAGTGAGGGCGGGGACTGTAAGGGCTGCACATGCAGCAGGAGATGGGGACCCCTGAGCAGGTGGCAGCGAAGGAGGAGGATGAGCGGTAGGAGCCACGAGCCCGAGAGCCGGTCTGGTTGGGAAAGCATGAAAGACGACCGTGAGGGCCGGGGAGCACCCCAACAGCGGGGTGTGGACGAAGGAGGACAGACAATACAGAATTGTTACCATGGGAAACAAGAGATGAATCCAGAGACAAACGAGGGCAAGGACAGTAAGGATGGAAATGTGGAAGATACGACTTTGACCCAAGCAAGTATGGGCACAGAGAAGAGCAGGAACACGTCCACAAGGATGGCCTCTGATGGGAAGTCTAAGGAAGGTGAGCCCAGGAAAAGACGGCAAACACAGCTGTTCCTCGGCAGCTTTTGAGGACAGTGGAAGGTGTAACAGGTGAGGTTCAAGACGTGAAATTAAGCGAAGCAATATGTGGTACAAATAGGTGTGGTCACATGGGTGAATAGGATTTCATCAGCTTAATGAAGGTGATTAATCCAACCACAGCTATTGATGGAATCGGATCAGGTAGGGAAAGACAAATTAGGGAACGAGAAAGGGTGACCAGTGGGGTTTTTGTCTCAAGGCAAGGGATGAGAGCTGAGCTGAGTGAAACCAGGAGTGCCAAGCTGGCAAAGGTGGGATGCGTGTGTCTGGGCAATCGATGGCGTGAGGCACAGCGAGAGCAAGAGAGCAGGACTGAGCACTCGGGCTCTGAGCAGGAGAAGAAGGAAGAGGACACGCAGGGGAGAGCACAGGAGCACACAAAGCTGTGCAGTCAATCGTCTTAATGTCCCCCCAGCACGCCTGGCAGGAGACAATGCCCTGGACGTGTTCCAGAAGCATCGAGAGAACGAACTGAAGGAAAGACAAGAGCTGTACTGGTGAGCACTGGCCCGCGAGCCCCCCAACAGTCCCCCCTCGCCGACCTACACACCCTCCCCTGAAGCCTGGTCCCCATCTCCTAGCTGGGACACCTGGAAGGAGGGGTTACCCCTGACCATAGCTGCCGGGTGTCAGGACGATCTGCCTCCAAACATGAGATTCCATGAGGACAAGAGGCTGGACTTCGAGTGGGCACTGAAGGCGGGGTGAGGAAAAGCCAGGGGCTCAGAGCAGATGAGGGCCGGGAGGTCCAAGGACGGTGGTGATGAGTGAGGCGCTGAGGGGTCAGCGACTGGGTCACACCTCCACGCTTGTCCTAGAGCGCTAGAGATGGTCCTCAAACGTGTCTACACCCTCCTGAGCTCCTGGAATCGTCCGGAGGATTTTGATCAGATCTTCTGGGGCCAGAAGGGCGCCCTGGCTGGTCAGTGGTTCCCCCAGGTCCCTATACATTCCCGAGGGCCCCTCTGGACAACCCGACCTTCACAACCCAGAGTCCCCCACGACTCCTTCCCAGCTGAGGCCCTAGGAGGCCTGATCATCTCACAGCGGCCTCCAGAATGCAAAGCCAGGGTCTGGAGACAGGGCGCTTGTGTGCCAGAACCGCTGGGGGGGGGCCTGGAGGAGAGGGACCTCCGGGTGCTGGTAAATGCCCACTCCTACATTCCACCTGACCCCACAGAGAAGGTCCACCAGTGCTGGCGGGACGATGAGCTTTTTGGCTACCAGTTCCTCAACGGCGCCAACCCCATGCTGTTGAGACGCTCCACCTCTCTGCCCTGCCGGCTCGTGCTGCCCCCCGGGCTGGAGGCACTGGGGGCCCAGCTGGAGAGAGAGCTCCAGGTACTTCCTGCCACCCTGCGTGGTTCCCCTTGGCTGTGTGGGGAGGGACCAAAGATGAGTCAGGGGAAGGGAGGCTGTGGTCACCCACTGTGCCTGGCTGCAGAGTCCCGTGCTGGAAAAACCTACGGATGACAGAGCGCGTAGGGGAAACTCTGAGGAGCTCCCAGGATGCAGGGCAACGGGAGGAGTTTCCAGCGCCCAGATGGGGCCAGCGACATCAGCAGGGACAATGACATTCGCTGGCCGCTCTGTACTCCCAGCACCAGCATCCTGGGCAGGGCGAAAGGTGAAGAAGCGCCATCAGGGGTGGAGAGCGGGGAGGTCTCCTAGGTTCGGAAGAGAGAAGCCAGGTGTGAGCGCACGCAGGTGTGTGCTGGGTTCGGGGGCAGCAGTAGCGAGGGGCCCTGTGGGGGCTCCTCGGCAGGACAGGAGAGGTTTGGACAGGCAGTGAAAGAGCTCAGTTTGCTGGCGGGGGGGACACAGGCAGCAGACCAGGGAGGGATGATGGCGAGGGGTTCAGGACAGCTTCCGGGACCTGCCCGACAGACGGGACTCTACACAGGCCCGGTTCCGAACCCAGATCTGCTCCCGCACATGCTGTGCTGTTTGCTCACGTCTATAAAACGAGAGGCATTGGGCCAAATGCTCCAGTCCCGCCAAGAGGACCCTGGTACCGACATGGGATGAGGGCAAGAAGCTAGCTAAACGTGTCCCTCTTTGCCCTGGCCCTGGAGGCGTGCTTTCAGCTCTAACCATGGGCACATTCCTCCTCTCCCCAGAACGGTTCCCTGTTTGAGGCCGACTTCATCCTGCTGGATGGAATTCCAGCCAACGTGATCCGGGGCGAGAAGCAGTACCTGGCCGCCCCCCTCGTCCTGCTGCGGATGACACCCAATGGGAAGCTGCTGCCCGTGGTCATCCAGGTGAGGCGCCCTGGGCACCCCCCGCCCCACACCGCTCTCTGTTCGCCCCAACCTCTGCTCCCGGGGATCCAGCCCCATGCTTCTTGGCTCCCAAACTCCATCACCATACAGTGAGACCTGTCTCCTGTCACTCTGTTTGCTTGCAGTCTGCTTTCCCCTGACTCACCCAACTGGAAGTTCTTGTTCTGCTCAAGAGTTATAATGGCCTTTTGGAGTCTCACCCTGTACCCGCTGGTTCTCAAACTTTAGAGGGCATCGCAATCACCGAAGGGCTCGTTAGCATATGTGGCTGGGTCTCACCGCCAGACTTTCTGATTCATAGGTCTGGGGTGGGGACTGAGCATGTGCATTCCTAGCAAGCCCCAAAGCGGTGCTGCTGCTGGCTTGGGAACACATTTGGAGAAACACTCTAACCCCCCTGGAGCCTCGGACTCCAAACACCCACCTTCTGATGAATACCCTTTCGCCCACGGCTCTCAGCAGTTACAAGTACTGTCCCGTCTCACCCGTCCAGCTTCCGTCTCCCACTGCCCACCCTTGCTTGGACCCCGTCCTATTTCTCCCAGCCACCTGCAGCATCTCCTCCCTGGAGCCCCCGCTCTGACGCTCCTGCTTTCGGCCCCTCCATCAAGGCGCTGGCGAGAGGCAGGGTGGAAGAAGGCCTCAGTTCTCCTCCTGGATTGTAACCTCCCGGGGAGCAACAGTCTTCCTCACCCATCTGCTGTCCCCCGCACCCCCGAATGCTGAGCAGAAGGTCACACGTAAAGCAGAAGTTCAGTAACGGCTTGATTTCATGTTTGCAGATCCAGCCTCCCAGCCCCAGCACCCCCACCCCCCAGCTGTTCCTGCCCTCAGATCCCCCATTCGCCTGGCTCCTGGCAAAGGTCTGGGTCCGAAATGCCGACTTTCAACTGCACCAGCTCCAGTATCATCTGCTGAACACTCACCTGGTGGCCGAGGTCATTGCTGTGGCCACCATGAGGTGCCTCCCGGGGCTGCACCCTGTCTTCAAGGTACATGCTCTACCCTCCGTGTCCCCGTTCAGACCCCAGGGAGAGAGGAAAGAGCCCAAGAGCAAATGATATGGCAACAGCAAAAAATGTTTCTATCAGTTTGTGAAAGCAGGAGGGGGAGTCGAGAAGGAAGACTGTCTACCCCCGAAACTTGTATCTTCATTCAGTTGAGTCATTTAGCGTTCCTTCAGGACATCTTCCTGAAGGAGCCCTCTGAAATTCTCAGAGAGCTGCCGACCTGGCAAACGGCATGGAGCCCAGCGGGAATGTTGTTAGTGAGACAACAGCCTTGTTCCTGCCTTAGGAGCTTCTCTACGTAGCCAGGAGGGCAAGTGATACTCCTGAGAAACATCCAGGGACCAGTATCTGGAGCTAGAAATCACAACACAAACACCATAGACCTGACGGAGAATGTTCTACCCCAACCGAGGAGTTTGCCAAGTAGGAACAGATCAAAAGGCAAGGGGAACAACCCAGCAGGCTACTTAGACCTGCCCGGGAGACAGGTGCAGAAAGACATGCCTCGGCAAGGTGGTGATTTGGATGAAAAGGAAAAAGAAATCAAAGACTTGGTTGGGAGGGTGGGGAGGGGGCGACAGCAGCTGCAGCGTGCCCGGTATCAGACCGGAGAAAGAAGGGCCAGAGGTTCACGGGGTGGGAGTGTTGTCATGACCTAGAAATATTGAAATTTGGTAAAAGAGTGAGTGAGTATCCATTGCTCGGCAGAAGGCAGCAAAATAAGACTTGTAGTTGCGTACAAACGTTCTCAACGTCTCGACGACACTTCGGGTAGAGGGACGCGGCAGAGAAGGGACAAACAGCACACTCGGGAGGAGAGCCAGGCCGGAGGCAAAGACGAGGGCTTCCGTCTCATGTGCAAGGAGTTGAAATGTTGGCAAGATATGCACGTGAGTTTCAGCTGGAGGCTTCCCGACCCCCCCCCCCCCCCCCCAGCCTGGCCACTAGGAGCTGTGGCTTCTCTGAGTCGAGGACAACACAGACCAGATGGAGACCAGCGTGTGCCACAGAATCGTGGATCCTATAGCTCTCGGGGCGCTCCCGCGTCACCATCTTTTGCTCTTCGGGAATAGGCTGGGCTTCTATCCGTGCTCACGCTCCCCCGTCATCAGGTCAGCCCTGTCCCCGCCTCTGTCAACTTGGTCCCGTGGCGGATGGCTGGGCTGTTAGCAGTCCTACGGAGAGCGAAGCCTGCTGCATCACAAAGGCTCCGCGCGCAGGCAGGCTCTGGATTCGGATGCTGGGGAGCGAATCCGGAATCCTGACCTCCTCCCAGATGCACGCTCAGGGCCCTCTTCTCTAAATGGGGACAACGGGAGCTCCACGGTGGGGTCGTGAAAGGACAGAACGACAAAGCATGACAGCGTGACAGCAGCTAAAAGCTACAAGCTCCTTAGTTCTTGCAGTGACCATTCCCGTTTTTAGGGGTTGTTTGTGCTCAGGTATCTGCTCTGCTCCCGTGGCCTCGGCTTTCTAGGACACTCGGCGTCTTTCGGGGACTTTCTGAAAAGTTTCAGACCGATGGGAGCTGCCTTCATATCCTGACCCCAGAGGCACCACCCGGGTCCTTCCCCGTGCGCAGCACCTACACCTCAGATAAATACCAACACCGCACAACACCTGGACGTACACTGGGTGCAAACGAGACAGAACAGTGTGAGGTCAAAGAAGCGCCTGTGAGGATCAGATGGCCTTCTTTAATAGCTAAGAAAAGGCTATTTGTTAAAGCTATTAAAACTAGAGGCACCTAACCGCCCAGCGGGGGGGGGGCAGGTCTGACAACAGCCCCTCCCTCTGCTGTGTCAGCAGGCGGCTCGGTAGGGCCCCTCTGGGGACTCACGGCACCCACCCCCAAAAGGCACCTCGCACCCCCACCCCCACAGGGAAGCGGCCAGAGGATGGACATGGGGCTTTGCTAGGGAGCAGAGAGGCTGGTTTCAGCTGTGAGGATGTGAAGGACAGAAGCACAAAAGTAGATAAAAAGGGGCTGATTCGACACCAACCCTCGAGGTGGGAATAAAGATCAATGGTAACAGGTCCAGAATGAGGGGCTCCGTGGGTGCTCGACGGTCTGCGCACTGCGGCCCCCAAGATGGGAGACCCCGTCATGACCCCCAGTCGACAGATGAGGTGAGAGATGGGAGATGACACAGATTAATACTCGGAGGGTCCGTGACCCTGGACGAGCTCCAAAGTGAGTGCTGAAGTATTGACTGAAACGCGGGTCGGTCTGGCGCCAGAGCCTGCCACGCTGGGCAGTAAGAGGCAGGAGAGGGAGTGATGGCAGTGACTGGAGCTGCAGCAGACCGGCCTGGCCAGGCGGGGGCAGCAAGGAAAGCCCCCTGAGGGGAGAGGGCCGCCAGGCTGGGCGCCACGCCCCGTGACGAAGGACCACGTGGCCTCCATAACCACCCCCCCAACCTCCTCCACCCCAGCTCCTGATCCCGCACATCCGCTACACCATGGAGATCAACACCCGGGCCAGATCCCAGCTCATCTCAGAAGGAGGAATATTTGACAAGGTGAGGCGGTAATAGGGCGCTGCGGGGCGGGGCTGCTCATCACCCAGCTCTCCGTGACCTCCTGCCACTTTCAGGCTCCCAGAGCGACCTGGGGGAATGTCCTGGCCCTTAAACCCATGAGCCTGTCCCTTCCCACCCATGTCTGGAAATATGCAACCCCACCTCTGGGCCCCTTACACTCCGCTCCGTCCTGTCCCTCACGGCCTCTCATCTCTGTCGTGGCAGGCGGTGAGCACCGGCGGAGGGGGCCACGTGCAGTTGCTGCGTCGGGCCATGGCTCAGCTGACCTACCGCTCCCTCTGTCCTCCCGACGACCTGGCTGACCGTGGCCTGCTGGGAATCCCAAGTGCCCTCTACGCGCATGATGCTTTACGGCTCTGGGGGATCACTGCCCGGTGGGTGAGGGTGACAGATGACGAAGGGAGCCTCGCCGGGGCGGGGGAGAGCGGGGCTCCGGCCTGAGGTCAGCATGGGGCCAGACCCCACATGGAACCAAGAAGGGCCAGACAGGAGGAGCAGGAGCTCAACCCTGGGGCGACAAGGGAGAGCAGGCGGCACTGGGGAAGGGTCTGAAGATGGGCAGACTGAGACCGGAAGGGCGGGTAGGTAAAGCTGTGGGTGGGCAAACCACGGGGTCTGGCGGGGTCAGGGAGCTTGTCAGGAAGCATGCCTTTCAGCCATGGGTCCGGAATTCCTAAAACGAATTCTTAAACTGTTTCCTTCCTTTCTAAACTAGTGTTTAGAAAGAGCTAGGGAATGTCCCCAGAGACCAGTCTCGTAAGATCTGTCCCCAGACACAGTGGGAGTCAGCCGGGCAGAGGCCCGGGAGAGGAGCAGAGGTTCTTCTCTCAGGAAGCTCACCCCCTTCCCCCTCTGGGCAGGTACGTGGAGGGCATCGTCCACCTCTTCTACCACAGGGATGACATCGTGAGAGGGGACCCGGAGCTGCAGGCCTGGTGTCGGGAGATCACTGAGGTGGGGCTGTGCCAGGCCCAGGACCGAGGTAGGATCCCTCCCCGGGGATGGGAGCCCCTTCTCGGTCCTGCCCCTCTAGGTTCAGGACCCCAACCCCTCATCACACCCCCCTCTTCAGCCACGCAGGAAGCATCTGAATCCCATTCCCACCTCCTAAGACTCAAGGCAATTCTAGATACCGGGGGGTTGCCCTCCTCAGAGACCCTGGCCACCAACCTCTACTGTCATCCCCGAGCCCCAGGCACAGATGGCCCTCGTCGGCCACAGCATGGAGCCCAGTAAGACCAGAACCACAGCCAGGGAGGGATCTGCCCAGGCCCTGCTGGGGCTCCTGTTCTCCTCAGGGTTGTCTGTTTTCCCGCGTGAGGACAGAGATACACGGGAAGAGCTTCCTGCAAAGCCCATCACGTCCCACGCTGCTCTCCCTCCCTGCCCCTCCTGCCTGCTACTGTCCAGCACACACACCGTTCTGGGTCCCACGCTGCCCAGTCACGTCCCGTGCAAACTCAGCACTGTACATGCTCTGGCACCAACTGGAACCCTGTGCACGGCCCCTCGGGGCCACATTTCTGGGGCCAGTCCGGCCTCCCCTCCCCTCGGCTAGGATCTAGCCACCACATGGAGCACCCCCGCCTGCATTCTAACCTCTGGGGAAGGAACAGCCTTTCTCGAGCCCTTGCTAGGTTTGTCCTCCCCTCTCCGGCACACACGGGCCAGCAGGGATGGCTTTAGATCCTTCCAGGGGTACTGCCCCTCACACGTCACGCTGCACCTCTGCCTCCGCGGGGTAACTCCAGACGTTTACTGGGGGGAGCCACTAACGGCCAGGCCCCAGGGACGCGGCCAGCAACAAACCAACACCTGCACTCACCCTTCCGGGCCCAAACTTTGTCTTGGAGACCTCAGAACTGTCCCTCAGGTCCCCCAGGCCCCCGGAAGATCCTTCTTCCTCTCCCTCCCTGCTCCTCTTCTCCCCAACCACTCTCTATATTTGGAAAACAAAAATAAACACTCACATGTCAGCTTTAATCTCCACCAACTGCCTCTCATCCTCTCTTCCTCCACCCGCCTCGGTTCTCATCGAGCACTTTGCCTAATTTTCCCAACAGCCTTTTTAGAGGAAATGTGCTAAAATTAAAAATAGCTTGCGAGTGGCAGTCAGGAACCCGAGTTCAAGGTCACCTCTGCCTTTTCCCGACTATGCAATCCTGACAAGCGGTTTTATCTCTCTGGGCTTTGATTTTTTTTTTTTAATCTACAGAAACGGGGTGATTATATTTGGTCCTCTTAACCGACAGGATCAGTGGCTCTGAGGCACCACCTCCACTGTAGAATCAGGGGCCCGAGATAACGTTTGTGGAAAGCCTCTCTCGGCTGTGATACTATAAACACCCGACCTCTCCCTTTCCTCATTTTATAACTCAGGCATTTACAATCCCCTGTTCGGGAATAGGAGGAAGCGTCTCTAAATTCTTAACCGCTTTTTGAGGCAGAAGATATTCGATCACTCAGACCTTTTCAGCCCCCGACCCTTCCATAATGACAGTAATTATTATTTACCAAGTATTTGTTATGGACCAGGTGATTTCAATACATCATCTCGTTTATAAGGTAGGAATCACCCACATTTTACAGGCGAAGAAATGGAAGTTCAGAGAGGTTAAGTAATCAGCCTAAGACACCCAGATTATAGTGCTTGAACCTGAATTGAAACCCAGGTCTAATGCAAATACATTTGAACAAATACACAAATGAACAGACACCCATCAATGCCAAAATACAGTTGATCCTCCAACAGTGGGGGGGGCGGGGGAGGAGGTGTTTAGGGGCACCAACCCTTCCCCCCACACACCGAGCAGTCAAAAATCTGCGCATAGCTTTTGACTCCCCAAAAACTTAACTACTAAGAGCCTACTGTTGACCAGAAACCTTCCCAATAACGTAATCAATTCACCCCTATCTTGTGTGCCATATGCATTATAAACTATATTCTTTTTTTTTTTTAAGATTTTATGTATTTATTTGAGAGAGAGAGAATGAGATAGAGAGAGCATGAGAGGGGGGAGGGTCAGAGGGAGAAGCAGACTCCCCGCCGAGCAGGGAGCCCGATGCGGGACTCGATCCCGGGACTCCAGGATCATGACCTGAGCCGAAGGCAGTCGCTTAACCAACTGAGCCACCCAGGCGCCCGCATTATAAACTATATTCTAACAGTAAAATGAACTAGATAAAATATGAAAAAAATTATAAGGAAGAGAAAATACATTTAGGTACCACACCATAAGAAATCCACACCTAAATGGACCCATGCAGTGCGAACCTGACTAGCATAGACATCCCAAGACATCCACCTTCGTATCTCTCCTCTCACGCTGGAGCCCCTAAATCCTGTTCCTCTCTGCCAGGTTTCCCCGTCTCCTTCCAGTCCCGGAAGCAACTCTGCCATTTCCTTACCATGTGTGTCTTCACATGCACTGCTCAGCACGGGGCCATCAACCAGGGCCAGGTATGACAGCCGAAAGCCCAGGTCCCTGGAGGCAAGTGTATGGACCTTGGGATGCCTAAGGGAAAGACAGGGGTTCAAAGCATAAGTATCAGGATCCTAGGGTTGCAGTTTCTTCCCCCAGCTGGACTGGTATGCCTGGGTCCCTAATGCCCCATGCACAATGCGGATGCCCCCACCCACCACCAAGGAAGATGTAACAATGACCACGGTGATGGGCTCACTACCTGATGTCCGACAGGCCTGTCTTCAAATGACCATCACATGGCATCTGGGGCGCCGCCAGCCAGACATGGTAAGAGGGGACTCTGGGAAAAGGGAAAAATTACAGTTGGAAGGGCAACATCGGAGTGAGGGGCCAGGCGCTCCAGGCTTCTGCCTCTGGACTAGAAACTGATGGATCCTTTGTCCTTTCCTAGGTGCCTCTGGGGCATCACAAAGAAAAATATTTCTCAAGCCCCAAGGCCAAGGCTGTATTAAACCAATTCCAAACGGATTTGGAAAGCCTGGAAAGAGAGATTACAGCCCGGAATGAGCAACTCGACCTGCCCTATGACTACCTGAAGCCCAGCCACATAGAGAACAGTGTCACCATCTGAGGCCTGCGGCACCCCCACCTGCAAGACTTAGATCAGCTCCAGTACTAACATTTCCATCTTGAATGTCATGGTTTCCAAAGGCTCTGCTGCTAAAGCTCTATTTTCTCCCCCAACCAAATCCCCTACGTCAGTATCCCACTCGCCCAGGGGGTGGGCAGCAAACCTTTCCTGTAAAGGGGCAGGTAATAAATATTTTAGGCTTTGTAGGCTGCACGGTCTCTGTCACAACTACTTTAACTTCCCCGACAGGGCACAAAAGCAGCCACAGACGATATGTAAGTGAATGAGTGTGACCGTGTTCCCGTAAAACTTATGAGCAGTGAAACAGGAACTGCACGGGTCACAAAATACTCTCCTTTTGCGTTGGTCAACGGTTTAAAAATGCAAAGAGAATCTGTGCTTTGCTAGAGGGACAGGCATAGGCTGTGGGCTGGATTTGACCATCAGGAGCAGTATTCGCACCAGGCTACCCCGCACTAGCCTGAGGCACTGACCCTACTTGCCAAACATCCAGAGAATGCTCTGAGGTGGGACCGGGAAGATTAATTGCCTAAATCAACTACCTCAACTAATTATCCCTTCCCAGGAGCTAGACTTCCTGCACCGGTGGCCAACCTAAAACTTCCTGACTCAGCTTTGGCAACGTTCCCCCCACCCCATTCCCCTTATTCACACACCAACCCCAAAAGTAGTCCAGTGAGAATGGTGCTCCTGGGCAGAACAGAAACCTGCCATCCCAGGATGGCTTCCTTCCCCAGGCAGTCTCAAGCAAACGAGACATGAAATTCGTGTCCCAACCCCTTTCCCAGCCCCTGTAGTAGTTTCCTGGGGTCTATAGGTGTTTCTTTGGATCCAAGTTCTCTGTCACAACCTGTTTAAGAAGGATATGCATAAAATAAATGGGGGGGGGGGAAATGCCACAAAGTTAGGTTCATCGCTGACGGTGTCTCTGTGCGTGGTTCTGGGGTCTTGGGATTCAAACGGCCCCTCTCGATTATGCTGCGATCATTGTCCTCACCAGAACGTGTACAGCAAGCTCGGTGCAAAACCGTGTTCTTCAAACACCCTATTTCCCTAAATAACTATTACAAAGCTGCCTCTCACCGGTGAAGTACACAAACTTTTTCTTTGCAGAGGGTGACCTCTTCGTACTTTTTTAAAAGTCTTGTGCCCTCCCTTATCCCAAGGACCTGTGACCGGTCCCCCCGGTTCACAACAGGGAGGCAAAGTGACATCCTTGGGTACTCACTCCTCTCGCCGACACAGTTAGCAAGGCCGCTCACCCTCACAACTTGTTCACACTGGGTCGGCCCCCCTCCCCCCCCGCCCCCCCCGCCCCGCATTCTTCCCGGATTCGGCCTCCAAAACGATTCAGCCTTCCACGTTTGGTAACAAATGTTACTTGACGAGGCACCCCCGGTGCTAGGGGCCCGTGGCGACTGCAAAGCGTCTGACCACCGCTGCGCGCTCGGCCTCGGGAAGGGGCTCCTCCTCTCCCTGGGTCGGGGAGTCTCTGTTGCAAGCAGGCAGGAAAAGACAGGAGGCCGGGGCGTTCTTCCTCGCCGGACATCCGCATGTCTCACTTACCAGGCCCCCATCACAGGCCACCACCCGAAACTAAGGCATCGGAGGGGCAGGGCGCTAGCTCCGACCCTCCGCACCTAGGAGCCCACCGCCAGGGTCACCAGAAGGCCGCCACACCTCCGCCCTCCCTAGGCCCGGCTACTGCGGGTTCCTCGTCACCTGACTCGCCCGGTCCGCTCACGTGACGTGCTGGATCCTTCCATTCCGGCCCGGGGGGGGGGACAAGAAACGGGAGGGGTTGCTCCTGCAATACCGCGCCCCAGCTACATGGGCTCTAAGGGGCTCCTGAGGGGCTGCTGCGGCCCCCCCATCGCCTACCCCCGCCGGAGATCCGGGAGGACCCGGGGGCGCCCCGCCGTCTCCGCCCTGCGCCTCCCCCCCCCGGCGCTATGGTTGGGGCCGGAGGCCACGCCCCCTTGGCGGCGCCCCCGGCGGCCGGTTCTCCGCGGCGCGAGCCCCCAAGTCCAGCTCGCTCGCCCCGGGCGCATCCGGGCCTCCCTCTGGCCGCCTTCCCGCTCGGTCGGCCCGCAGCGAGGCGATCCCCGACCCCCTCCTTCATGGCGTCGCTTCTGTGCTGTGGGCCCAAGCTGGCCGCCTGCGGCATCGTCCTCAGTGCCTGGGGAGTGATCATGTTGGTGAGGGGGCCGCCCGCCGACGGCCGGACAGGGCCCGAGGGGCCCCGGTGTTGAGGGCTGCGAGGCTGGGAGGCTGCGGGCCTGAGAAACTAGCAGCAGGCAGGCCGGAGGGGGTGGCCGATGAGCCGCTGGAGAACGAGACAACGGAGATGGAGAAATGGGGAACTCGAGCGGGGCGGGGGCGGGTGGGCAGCTGGGGCTGGGAACGGGAGCCGCGGCTGGTAAATCTGGAGAGCCCTCGAGGTAGGGGGGAGAAGAGCTGGGTCCTCGAGAGGTGCCTGTGCTGCGTGGAGGGCAGTGGGGAAAGGGAGCGCTTGTTCCCGAAGTGGGCAGCTGGGGCCTGTTTCCCCAGGACGACCCGCCCCACTCCAGGAAGAAATCCTCGGAAGGGCTGATTTCCCCTGCCCCCTTCCTCCCTGCCCCGTGATAATGACGCCCCTGGAGAGGAGGATAATCTAGCTTGCTCGCTGTTCGTGCCCTTGCACCACCAGCTCACGCCCTAATCCTGGTGACTGAGTCCGAATCCAGCGGCAGCCTCCCCAACCCCAGCTCGTTCCGGTAGCTCCCAGACCCAGACGTTGTGGCCGCAGGAGACGTGGCAGGGGCTTAGGGAGGGATCAGGTTGGTGCCCGGGTTCAGCAAGCCTGTCCGTTGCCTCTTTTCAGATAATGCTCGGAATCTTTTTCAACGTCCATTCCGCCGTGCTCATCGAGGACGTTCCTTTCACCGAGAAAGATTTTGAGTAAGTAGTCAGGTGGGAGAGGCGGGGCTGGGGGCAGGTGGGGGGCGGCTGGGGCTGTGAATTGGCGGCGGGGGAACTGCGGGTGGCGGGAGGCTTGGGCCCCGAGGCTAGAGAACTGAGTGCCGGGAGCTCTTCCCCTTAGCGGCCCTCCTAAGCCCACCAGCCCAGATGTGGCTTCTTCGGTATTTTACCTGACTGCCCTGTGCCGCCGGGGGGGTGCGATCCTAGGACTCGCCCCATAGGGATGGGAAAGCTTGAATAATACGCGTAAAAGCGCCTAGGATGGCGCCTGGCACGCAGCGCCCAGGAAATGTTGGCCGCTGGGAATGCTTCTGACACTTGTTTACCGAATCCCCACCCCCAGGAAGGACCCTCAGAAAATATATGAACTTTACGAGCGAGTCAGCTACAACTGTTTCATCGCCGCGGGCCTTTACCTCCTCCTCGGAGGCTTCTCGTTCTGCCAAGTTCGGCTCAATAAGCGCAAGGAATACATGGTGCGCTAGCGCACCGTCGCGTCCCCCCGGACCGGCCCCCTCCTCTCTCCAGAGGCCGTCCCCACCCGCGTCCGCACGCCGGCGCCCTCGGCGGGCCTGAAGCCCTGGCTGGCCGTCCCCTGCCCCTCCACAATAAAGAGAAGCTGCGCCCCTGAGCCGTGTGTCTGTGCTTGGGCCCGGGGCGGGCACCGGGGCCGGAGAGCGGCCTCCGCGCCGCGACTCCCGGCCCGCCGACGGAAGTGGAGTGAAGCCGGGCCGGAAGTGAGGCGGCGTCTTCCCCTCTCGGCCCCCCGCTTCGCGGGCGCCGCCGGAGCCGCCGCGGCGGGCAGCCAATCGGCTGCGGGGAGGGGCGGGACTTCCTGCGCGGGGGCCCGAGAGGCTCGGTGGCCCGGCTCCGTGGTCCCCGGCTAGGCGGCGGCGGCGGCGGCGGCGGCGGCGTCTCCTCCGTGGGGAGGCGCGCAGGGCCATGACGTCAGCGTCCACAAAGGTTCGGCCTCGCTCGCGGACAGCGCTCCCTGGCGGCCGCGGGCGGGCGGGCGGCCCCCCACCCCGTGCCCGCGGCGCCGGCTCTTCCGCCCGGGGCGGGGGGCGGGCGGGGGGCGGGCGGGAGCCGGGCCGGGGTGGGGCTAGGGGCTCCGGGCGGGACGGCGCGGGGGTGTGCGCCGGCCCCCCGTGACGCCGCCCCGCCCCCAGGTGGGAGAGATCTTCTCGGCGGCGGGCGCCGCCTTCACGAAGCTCGGGGAGCTGACGATGCAGCTGCATCCCGTGGCCGACTCTTCCCCCGCGGGGTACGTGACGCGGGCCGCCGCTCTGCCGTGCTGCGAGCCGACCGCGGGGCACGCGGGCCGGCCCGAGCGCTGCACGCCGCGGCCGGGGCTCTGTGTGTAAGACCCCGCGCGGGCGGGACTGCTCCCCGCGCGCTCCTCGCAGCAGCGGCCGCACGCTGCTCGGGGACCGGCTTTCCCCTAACGTGGCTGTCGGGATAGGTGTGTTTGGGGGTCCTCAGGATGCCCACAGGGCGCCAAGCGCTTTTTGCTTCTTTGTTTTCTAAGGAAGCCCTCTTTAGGGACCCACGGACGGGGCCCCAGGGACTGGGGGGGGGGGCTGGGGGCTGTGGAACGCACAGCCTGTGGGCTGGCCGCACACCCCCCCTTCCCACCTTCCTGTCCCCCTCTCCCCTCTGACAGTGCCAAGTGGACGGAGACGGAGATAGAGATGCTGAGGGCTGCGGTGAAGCGGTTTGGGGACGATCTTAATCACATCAGCTGTGTCATCAAGGAACGGACAGTGTGAGGGAGGGTGGCCGGCAGAGGCAGGGGGGTGGGCACTCTTCCTCCTCACCCACCTGCCCTCTTCCTGAGAACTCCCTTCCAGCTCAGCAAGCTTTCCTAGCTCGCTTCTGGCTGTGTTAGCACCTCCTGGAAGACTAAAAGAATAAGAGTGGGTCAGGCGTTGCTGAAATGCTGTGGTAACCAGGACCTTCCAAGAATTTTATTTCGGGTTGCCTGGGATGGCCAACAGTTGAATTTGGTGATGGGAGTTCCCCGGTGGTTTACACGGCCCCTTCAAGATGTTACTGTGGCGTTTCTGGGGATATTGTGACTCTGAACTAGTTGAGCGGGATCCGGTCCTAAGTCTCAGTCTACCTGTGGGTCGCCAGGGCTTACCTGGTAGCCTTCCACACCCACACATCTCTCTCCCAGAAGAGAATTAGGATGTGGGCCTTCCCCACTACGCAGGTCAGGGAGTCCACTCTTCACATTCCATCTGCCCTGAGTGTGTGCAAAGCTTCGGGGGAACACGAGAAGCCTACCAAAGGTTGGGCCCCTGACCGTGACGCTCATGAAGGGGCTCCCCAGGATTCCTCCAGAGTGGCCCGTTACCCCTGCCCCTCCCCTCCCTTCTTCCCTCAATCGCTCTGATGACTCCCTTCCTAACCTGCTCTCTCTTCTCTTCAGGGCCCAGATAAAGGCCACCGTGAAGCGCAAGGTATACGAAGACTCTGGCATCCCCCTTCCAGCTGAGTCGCCCAAGAAGGGGCCCAAGAAGATGCCGTCTGGTGTCCTGTCCCCTCCTCCAGCTGCCCCGCCACCAAGCAGCTCCAGTGTCCCTGAGGCCGGGGGTCCCCCCATAAAGAAACAGAAGGCTGGTGAGGGCTGCCGAGTTGCTGCCTGGGGGCTCAAGGTCCCGTCCGAGGTCCAGGGAGAGAATTGGGGGGTGGGTCAAAGAAGGACCAATCTCTCTCCCTTTCCCTGTCAAGGTTCCCAGAGAGGGGCTGAAGTGGCAGAGGGAGGGGGAGCCGGAAGCTTTGGGAAGCTGGGGGGCAGTCGGAGAACCTAGAACCTAGCTTACGCCCCCCTCCCCCCCCCCCCCCCCCAGATGTGACACTCAGTGCTCTGAACGACTCGGACGCCAACAGTGACCTGGTGGATATCGAAGGGCTGGGAGAAACTCCTCCAGCCAAGAAACTCAACTTCGACCAGGGTAGGAGTCCTCCTCCTCCCACTCCCGCACCAGCTGAAGTGGTGGGAGAGGGTCTCCACAGGAGCCCCCTCCCTTGTACAGAGGCTTGGCAAGAGAAGGTTCCCCGGTGTGCCGTGCAGGGGGTCGGGTCAGCAAGGAGCCGGGTGCCTGGGGCAGGTGACAGTTGTCTTGCCAGCACACCGGGGGCTCGCTCCATCTCGCCCGTTCTGCTTCCTGTTCCAGACAGCCTGACCCGGGATTCCGGCCTCCTCGTGACCTCTGCTGACCCTCCCCCGCTCTCTCGCTGCGCCTTCCGCCTCTGACCCCTGTCACTGTTCCCCCTGGACCTGTGGAGCGCCCGGGCCTCCGAGCAGGCCTGCCGAAGAGAAGGTCAAGAGGCTGCCGGGGCCCACACGCCTCGCCGCTCCTGTACGCGCATCTGCCGCACCCCTCTGACCTCCTGCCGCTGGACTTTTTTATACAGAAAACAATAAAGATTGCCCTCTCCTCCCGCCTGGCGCCCGCAGCGTCACGTGATGGGGCTGGGGGCCGCCGCCTGCGCCCTGAGCCCCGGGCCTCAGCCCCGCGCCGCTCGCACCACCCCGCCAGGAGCAGCACGGCAAATATTGGCAGGCTCTTCCCAGCGCCAATATTTCTGTGCTGCTAGAGCCGGGGGGGCCGGGGGTGGGCAGCAAAGACTCCTCGCCGCTCTCCGAAGGCAGAGCCTGGCTCCCGGGACCTCTGGCAGGCAGGATTCCTGAGGCTGCCCTGGGGATTCTAGAGGGGCAATTTCCCGGGCTTCCAGGCCCCCCCCGCCGCCCCCACCTCACAGGAAGGCCCGGATGTTTTCTGTGTCGCTCCTCCAGGGTGGCCTCCCGGGGCCAGGCCTCGGCGGTGCCTCCCCCACCCTCGCTCTAACACCACAGTGTGGTTTGGACGTGGCCACAGAGCCGTGCAAACCACAGTGTGCTGCTGGGGCGGGAGCAGGACTGGGGTGGCTTGAGAGGAAGGGGGCACAAGATGGTGCCGTGAAGACCCCCACCGCCAAGAGCAGGGACCTAGAGAAGGCTTCGAAGGCCAGCGTGGCCCCAAGAAGGGTTGGGGGGCAGCCCACCGGAGGGAGAGGGGCCTAAGGGATGAGCTCGCCGTGGGATAAGACTGGAACCCTCTTCCCTCCGCCAGAACTCTACTCAGGGGATCCCTCGGGTGGGGTCAGAGGCAGAGGAAACGGGGAACGACTGTGGGGGGCCAACAGACTGCCTCCCGACTCAGCAAGGGCAGGGACCCAAGGCTTCCTGTGTCCGTCCCTCCCCTCCCTGGGTCAGAACCCAAGAGAAAGCAAGGAGAGACAGAAGGCCAAGGACAGCAGGGTTGGGAGTTGGCAGTCCAGAGGTGGTGGGGCCGGAACATGGTGGGGAGAGGGGGGCCGGAAGTTGCCCTGGGCCCTGGGCCTGCCACAAGATGGAGGCCAAAGGCAGGAAATGGAGGCCAGGGGGAAAGGGGAGCAGCAGGGCCCAGGAAGAGGGCTGTCTGGACCTGGGGGCCAGGTACTCAACCTCCAGCACGGTTCCCACTCCCCACCGCCCCCCAGGACCCACGCCCGGACCCCCCGCGACGACCCCCATCAGCCCATCCACCAGGCCCAGGAAGGCGGGCCCACCCCAGAAAGCCACGTTTAAGCTGAGACAAACATGCCTCTCCCCACCCCCACCCTAGGCCTTCCCTCAGCCTTTTCCTCCTGTCCAGGACATGATTTTTAAAAGCACCCCACAGAAGGCAAAATCCAAGGGCCAAAATCCCTTCCACAAATCAAAATAATATCCTCTGCAACCCAAAAGTTTTCCTCCTACCTCCCATTCCATCCGCTACCACCCCCCTTCCGACACACCCCCCAAAACTCTTAGCAATCAGAAAGATCTAAGATGGTGGGTGTAAGCAGTCTTTTTAGGCCCCGGGGGGATGCCAGACCCCCTCCCTCGAGACCCCTGTCTGTCCCACACCAAATCCTGCCAAGGCCTCCTGCTTCTCACTCCAACCTCCCTAGCCCCCCAAACTGAACAGCTGCCCCCAGCTCCCATTCTCGGCAGAGCCTTTGTGGGGGTGAAACAGAAATCAAACACTTTGCTAACGGCTGGGGATGTTGGGGGACCTTCGGGTCTCAGCCTTTGGTTTCCATTTGGGGGACTGCAGTTTAGGGGCGAAAGGGAAAGCCTCTCCAATCATCCCCCCAGTTCCAAGACTGACAAAGCCCAACCCCACCCCAGCACGCACCTCCAAACCTCCCCCCCAACCGCCACGTCTCTCCTGAAAACAGGGGACACTTTCATCCCCACTTACCTCAGCTACTCTCCCCTGAGATCCTGGTCCCCTATTTTGAAGGGAGCAAAATTTGGGGTGCATCCCTCACATTTGGGGTGCAGGAGAAAGGAGCCGCCCCAGTCGCATCGCTGGCCTCCTTCCTCTCGGCTGGCTCAGGGAGTGGGGAGTGCCCTAGGGAGGGGGGACCCCCACAAGAGAGCTCAGAAGGGGGTTCCTCCATTCCCAGTCAGAATTGGGGACACCCCCCCAAACCCGTCCCAGCCCATCCGTCTCCAACTCGGCGGGAGAGGCAGCTGCAATGCCCCAGTCAGATTCCCCCAACACTACATTCCTCACCCCATCTAGAGGGGTCCCGGGGGCCCCAAAAAATCCCAAAAAAATCTAGGATGTTGGCAGGACGGTCCTGGACTAGCACCCCAAATTTGGGGTCCTCAGATAGCCCCGTTTTTTCAGGAAAATTCCGTCTTTCACCTGCCTCCCGCCAGCCCTGCTCTGTCCCGATGCCAATTTTGGAAGTCACTCCCTCCTTCCTCCTCCCCGTCTCTCCAGGCCCCCCCGCTCGGGGGCTAGGGGCCAGGAAACCTGGCTTCCAGACCAGGGGGGGCACTCCTCGAAGGGCTAGGGGCCAGGAGGTCAAGCTCACAGCCCCAGTCTTAGGGAAGCAGGAAAGCCCGATCCTCCCCTCCCCTCCCCCCTGGCTGGTCTCCGTGGTGGTTTAAGGAAAGCCTGGAGGATTGGAATCTGCTATTGCTGTTGCACAGGCAGGTTTTTTTCCTTGGGTTGGGGGGGTGGGCGGTGGGAGGGAGAGAGGGGAGGAGAGCCGAAGAGAGCAGGGACCCAGGCGTGCAGAGCTGGCCTGGCTTACCCCCTCGCCCCTGCTGCCGTGGGGAACCCCTCCCCCCACCCACCTCACCCGCATTCCCAGTCCTCTGACTGCTTTCTGTTTGGGGCTCTGATCCTAGAAACTCAGGGTACAAGAGTCACCTCCGTGTACCCCCACCACCACCTCTCCTTGCCAACGTTCCAACAGCACGGCCCTAGTCGGGGGTGTTCACCTAACCACGGGACACCCCATCTTCTCCCCACCTTCCCGGAAAGTGAGTTGTGCTCCCTTAAGAGGTTGGGGTTCAGAGTCTGAAACCGCCTTCCGTCCCTCAGATCTATCCAGGCCACATAGAAATGAGAGGAGATACACTACCCACTTTACCTTTCCAAATTTCTCCCTTCAAGTCCTGGGTGTAAACTGGGGGTTCAGCAAAGAAAGAGATTTCTAGAATCTGGGATGGGTGAGAGGGAAGCTAGCTATAAGCAAAGGACATCCCAAACCAGCGTCACGCTCCAAATTAAGTGAACCCCCAAATCAATCTCACCTTATGACCCATCACTCAGCCTCATCACATACACCCAAAGAGTGACAAAACACCCCAAAATAAGGACACCCCAAAACTTTAGTCTCCTACTCTGGGCCCTCACCTTGTTTCTCCCCCTGGAAAAAGCTTCATGGCTATCTATGTTTACACAGGACTATCCCCCCTCAAAATAAGTTTCCACAACATTCAAATATAAAGCTTTGCTCCACCTCAATGACCCACAATCACCCAGAAGGCCTTCCAACTTGCTCCCAGGTTCCTATTATGTTCCACCTCAAGCTAATAAAAAAACTCCAGATTGAATTTCAGGTCCCCCCAAGCCTAACCCGAGCCTTGAAACATATATGGTTTCCCAAAACAGACTGTACCCCAAAATCAGCATGACTACTCTACCTGAAATCAGATTGTCCATACACACCAATGACTCTTGAATCCCCAACACAAAGCCCTCATCCACCTCCTGACGAACGCCTAGCGGGTTGTCCTGATATTCCAAAGTGACAATCTCCAAATTATGGGTGTCAGAGTCCCCCAAACTAACATAGCTTCAAAATCAGCTCCATGCCTAAAACTTACCATTGGCGCTCAGGCCTTCTGAATGCAGCCCCCAGTGCCCAGAACAATCCGGCTAACTCAACACCCTGTAACAAACATACTCTCCACAGCTGACCAGATAACATAAAATCAGCTCCATCCTGATACCAAAGGGAGCCCCTGGTGGAACTCCCACCTCCAAACTGAGCAGAGACCAGAGTAACCCTAACATGCAAAAGCCCCATCCGGGTCCTGATTCCCTAGTGGTCTGGGATTCCCACTTTCTCAGCAGTTCTTTCCTGCGCCCAAATAAAGTCGCCCTCGGATCGGATAAAGACACCGCAGGCCTGGATACGCAGCTCCTCGGATGACGGGCAGTCATTCCTGGGCACCTGTGACCCTCTTGAACCCAAGTCCTGCTTTGCAGCTAGACTCAGCTCTGCACCCCCGTCTCCAAATAAACATCGCCTCCCCCAGCGTCTCCCCCAAACAAAATATGAGGGTGTGACCCGTGCCTATCTCCCAGATCAGGGACCTCAAATTAGGGTTATCGGTTATCGGACGCCTCCTGCCCTCTCTCCCTTCTTTTACCCCGAGACCCTCCCTGTTTTCCCTCCTCTCTGTCCACCCCACCCAACCTTCAGATTAATGTTCACTAAAAATTCACCTCTACCGACACATAATAGTGTCTAGCGTAATTAGCAAAGAGAACCCTGAGCTCCCAAGGCTCAGACCCCACTCCTTTTCCCACCAGTTCCCTTGCTCCCAGAGCCCGCGGATTTCTCACCCCAGATAAGGAACCCCAGCCTCGGAGGAAAGTCCCCTCTGTCGCCTAACTCTCCCTCCCTCCGCCCAACCTTAGTCCCCCCCCCCACCCCCCCCCGGAGACAGAGGGACAAAATCAACCAGCGCAAAGGGGAGGAGGACGAAGGTTTCAGCCGCTCAGACCGAATCGATCCTGCGCCCCGGTCCGAGTGGACCCCAGCCGGGTGGAGACGGCGAGGCGAGGCTAGTGCTCGTCCGCCCCCTCGTGGAAGGAGTCAAACATTGCCGGGTTTTGCCTACTTGCCGCGCTGGACCCCGGCGTCCCGCCAGCCTCCAAGCGTAGCCGACGGGCGGGTGCCCGAGGCCCTAGTGAGCTGGGATTGGGGGAGGGCGAGCGGGCTTTGGGCGGGAGTCTGTCTCTCTGGATCCCTAAAAGGATTCAGAAGAGAGTCGGGAGCGAGAGTCCGGACGCCCAGGTCTCCGGAGCGCCTCTCGGCCCCCACCCGGGGCTTTCCCCACCTCCTCGAGGGGAAGCAGCTGGCGGAGCCGTCCGGTCTCAGGACAATGGAAGGAAACGAACTAGAAATCATATCCGTCCCCTCCCCGCCCCGCCCGAGCAGAGCCCCCCCTCTTGTAGGCCCCGCTAGAGGAGCCTGTCATTCACACCGCGCCCTCCCGCTGCTGAGACCCCACGCGAGTCCACCGTGGCCTCCCCAAGCCTGGTGCCTCGCTGCGCTCCGCTCTCTCTCCCTTGATGTCGTACGTTGGAAGGGGGAGTTTTGCTGTATCCACTCTCCAGTTAACAGGCACCCCCGCTTCCAAAAGCCAACACACCGATTTTCGCTGCCCCAGGCCCCTCGACGACCCGGGTCACCCATATTTCCAATCTCGATATCCCCAACCTCCTCCCCAATTCCAGTGTCCCATCCCCGATTCCACTTCCAGTGGCCCAAGACCCCTTATGCTACGACCACCCCAGGGTTTCTGAGGTCCCGCCCTCGAGCCGGAGACCCCGCCCCGGGCTCGCCATCTGGAGAGCTCGGGAGGAAGGAAGGATACAGACCCAGGCGTTCACCCCACCTCCACCCCCGCCCCCGCCATCCCGGCCAGATAAAGGAGCCGAGTCCAAGAGGGTAGAGAGACCCCGCCCCCCTGAGAAGAGAAGCCGCAGCCCCTGCAGGACGGGGGTAAGAACGACAGACCGAGGGAGCCAGACTCCTGGGTCCCCGAAAAGGGTTGCTGATGGTAGGAAGACTGAGGCCCACTACCTGGGCTAAACTAGGACTCCGGGATTAGACAGTAGTGGAATTCCGTGGTTCGGAAAGGGAGCCTGGGCTGGGATTTGGAGGGGTGTGGACCGCAGGCCGTCTGGGGTGCCCGGGCAGGTCGGACACCCGACATTCAGGCGCGCGGTGAAGCCGGGGGGCAGCGGGGTGCTGCACTGACACGAGCGGTCGAACCGAGGGCGCTGCGGGCCGGGTCCCCCACGCTGGCCGTCGACGCCGCGGCGTGGGGGCACCCACCTCGCGCAAGCACGGTGGAGCCTAGGGGGCAAGCGAGCGCCGATGAGCTGGGGGCGGAAAGAACTAGACGGCGCACGCGAGGCTGCGCGAGCCGGGCGGGGGGCTCGGCCCCGGCCGCACGTCAGCAGAAGGGGCGAACTGCGCAGGGAAGGCGCCTGAGCACCGCCTGGGTCCCTGAGCCCTTTCCTGGGTCCCTGAGCCCTTTCCTGGGCACCGGCAGGCCTGCGTCGCGATGGGTTCCACCGCCACCCCCGAGGGTGCGCTGGGCTACGTCCGCGAGTTCACTCGCCACTCCTCCGACGTGCTCGGCAACCTGAACGAGCTGCGCCTGCGCGGGATCCTCACTGACGTCACGCTGCTGGTTGGCGGGCAACCCCTTCGCGCTCACAAGGCGGTTCTTATCGCCTGCAGGTTCGGGGAGGGACTCGGGGGGAGGGGCGGGGCCAAATGGGAAAGGGCTGGTGTCCTGAGGTCTTTGGGAGGGGATCCGACGCCAAGCCTTCCAGAGGCGGGAGGCTGAGCGCGGAGCGTCGGGGACCTGGGGGGCTAATGGGGAGGAGGTGGGGCTTTTCTACAGTGTGGCGTGTCTCCGTGGGCTCCCAGGCCCTGATGTGGCCTCTCCGCCCTCTCTCCAGTGGCTTCTTCTATTCCATCTTCCGAGGCCGCGCGGGCGTGGGGGTGGACGTGCTCTCCCTGCCCGGGGGCCCCGAAGCCGGGGGCTTCGCTCCTCTCCTGGATTTCATGTACACTTCACGCCTACGCCTCTCTCCTGCCACTGCGCCGGCTGTCCTCGCAGCCGCCACCTACTTGCAGATGGAACACGTGGTCCAGGCATGCCACCGCTTCATCCAGGCCAGGTGAGGGAGCCCCAGCTCGGTGTCCTCCGCTGGGTGAGGCGGCAACCCAGGTGTCAAGGGTGGAGGCCAGGATTAGGAAAGAGCACTCATATCCCTCGCACTTTTCCCAGCTACGATCCTCTGGGCATCTCCCTGCGGCCTTTGGAGGCAGAACCGCCCACGCCCCCAACGGCCCCTCCATCAGGCAGCCCCGGGCGCTCCGAAGGGCATCCAGACCCACCTACCGAGTCTCGCAGCTGCAGTCAAGGCCCCCCCAGCCCAGGCAGCCCAGACCCCAAGGCCTGCAACTGGAAGAAGTACAAGTTCATCGTGCTAAACTCTCAGGCCTCCCAAGCGGGGAGCCTGGCCGGGGAGAGGAGTTCTGGTCAACTTTGTCCCCAGGCCAGGCTCCCCAGCGGAGATGAGGCTTCCAGCAGCGGTGGCAGCAGCAGTGAAGAAGGACCCATTCCTGGTCCCCAGAGCAGGTACAGACCCTGGAACCTCGAGAATTTGCGGAGGCCAGCCTCAGCTCCGAGGCAGAGCCGTGGGGCCTGGGTGGCCAGGAGCAGGGAGTGAGGGGGTGGGACTTTGGCAGCACAATTGGATATGGCCCATTGGTCAGTATTGGCTCACCACCAGAGGGTAGGCCTTCCACTCCGAGTTCTCCAGGCGAGAACCCCTCCATAAAATCTCTCCTAATCCTTTTCTCTGGGCTTGCCACCTGCCTAGGCTCTCTCCACCTGCTGTCACGGGACCATTCAAATGTGGGGCTCCAGTCAATACCCCCCATCTCCTCACAGCCCTGGCTCAAGAGACCACTGGATCACACTCTGGGCGGGCCTGCCCACCACCAGGTAAGAGCCCTTCCTTTTACCTCCTCCCTTGGCTTTTCTCCTCAGGCTGCTCAAGGCCAGTTTGGACCAAAAGGAAAGGCCCGCCCCAATTACTGCAAATCCGGAATCGCCTAGGGAGCTTTTCAAAATCCCATTGCCCAGGTCACACCCCATAGATCAGAAAGTCTGGAAGTGGGAGCCAGGAATCAGTATTTTTAAAAAGCTTCCAATGAGCAGCAAAGTTTGGGAGCTTCTGGCCTGTTCCCATCAGGGCTGAGTGGTGGGCCCAGGGCTGGGCAGCACCTCTCCGGCAAGCTGTCGAGCCGAGCAGTGGTCCAAGAGAGGAGAGAGAAACAGAAACTTCACCCAGTAATTGGGGCCTCCAGCTACCACCACCACCACTATTGAAGAGATTAGCAGAGTATTCTGAAGTCAGACAGACATGAAGTCAGATCTTGGCTTGTCCTCTTACTAACCATGTGACCTTGAGTAAGTCAAATGAACTCCAGAAGCCTTAACAGTAAATTGGGGAAAAAGAAAACCCCCTACTACTGCGGTTTGAGGATTCACTGGAATTGTCATTACCCACCCCCCTCCCAGGAAGTGAATTTTTCAGCTGCCAGAACTGTGAGGCGGTGGCTGGGTGCTCGTCGGGGCTGGACCCCTTGGCTCCTGGGGATGAGGACAAGCCCTACAAATGTCAGCTCTGCCGGTCTGCCTTCCGCTACAAAGGCAACCTGGCCAGTCACCGCACGGTGCACACAGGTAAGGGGGGAGAGGGCCCTGGCCTTCGTGCCCGCGGGCGTCCTAGGACGGAGTCCCTGACCTCCCGGCCTCCCTGCCTCCAGGGGAGAAGCCCTACCACTGTTCCATCTGCGGAGCCCGCTTTAACCGGCCGGCCAACCTGAAAACGCACAGCCGCATCCATTCGGGAGAGAAGCCCTACAAGTGTGAGACGTGCGGCTCGCGCTTCGTGCAGGTACCGAGCGCGTCTCCCAGCCCGCCCCAAGGCAAATTTGCCGGAGGGCGGGGCGGGCCGTCGGGGCGGGTTCGGTGCCTCCCAGACGCGCGCTCTGAGCTCCCCCTGGCCGCCCAGGTAGCGCATCTGCGCGCGCACGTGCTGATCCACACCGGGGAGAAGCCCTATCCTTGCCCCACCTGCGGCACTCGCTTCCGCCACCTACAGACCCTCAAGAGCCACGTTCGCATCCACACCGGGGAGAAGCCGTACCACGTGAGTACCCGACCGGGCCCGGCGTGTACCTAGGGGCGGGGCTGCGAGGGGAGCGGGCCGGGCGGGCCCCGGCGCTCTCCGAGGTGGGCGGGGCCCTGGGAGATAAGGGGCGGGGCCGGGGCCGGGAAGCGCGCGCACCGAAGTTAGGCTCCCGGGCTGGGCGCCGTCCTCCGGAGGAGGAGCTAGGGATGGAAGGGGGCGGGACCTAGCTCCGCGACCGCCGCCGAGCCTCGCGGGAGACGCGCGGACCCGAGAGCTCCTCTCCCGCGGAGAGCCGGGCGCGGCCGTGGAGGGGGCGGGAGCTGACCCGCTGTCCTCCCACAGTGCGACCCCTGCGGCCTGCATTTCCGGCACAAGAGTCAACTACGCCTGCATCTGCGCCAGAAGCACGGAGCTGCTACTAACACCAAAGTGCACTACCACATTCTGGGGGGGCCCTAGCTGGGCGCCGCGCCCAGGTCCCACTCGCTTCCCGGAAGCCGGGACAGCTGCGGGCTCGCGCCTGGCTTCCCTGTCGGGCCTGGGCATGCGGGGCGTGCAAGGCCCCTCGGGCGTCGGCAACGGCCACCGCCTTAAATTCGCACTGGGGAGAGCAGGGGTGGCAGATCTCCGCTTGATCTGCCTCCGTTTTGCTGGTCAAAACCTCTTCCCCACAATCCAAATTGTTCCTGAGGCGACAGCCAGCTGGGAGCTGCGGGGGGAGACTGGAGGGAACGGCCCTCCACCTGCAGCCCCCCTCTCATTTGGTTTCTCTGTAAATATAATTTATTGAGGCCTGTGGGTGGCACCAGGGCCTTCATTCCACCGCACTTCCCACGTGCACAAGTGTGATCAAACGTGGCCCGAAGCACAGTGTGTGGGGCCAGCTCTGCGGGCAGAGATGAGCACTTAGCGGTCTCCTTCGGCTTGACTGTTTTATGTTTATTCTTGTCATAACTTTCATCTTTAGAGTTGTTGTTTCTCCTATCTGTTTGCTTGTCAGTTCGTTGAAAGTGGAGAAAGGGTCTCTCTGTGTCCCGTCCCTCCCAATCCTAGGTCTGGAACCTTATTTGTTCTAGGGCAGCTCTGGGGATATGTGGGGTTGTGGACTTGGGTCGGGAACCCTCTTTGGTATTCTGGATATTGTGGGTTCTCTAGCGGGCTAGAACTGCATATGGACTCTGCTCTGGTTCCAAGACTTAGAGGACCTTTTTTTTGGTGAGCCGGAAATGGAAGTAAGAAGTGCTTCCTGGGGGCCATGGATGTGGGGGCTTTGGCAGTCTTGGAACTGGAGGGAGGATTGGAAAGGCTTTCTCTTGCGGCCCTCACTGGCCCATGAGTCTGGTCACCTAGGTTTGGCTCCACTGTGCCGATCTGTCATGAGTTGGGCTTTAGTTGAGCCCAGAATCCTCCCCCTGGGGCCTGTTCTCAGCACTGGGTTGATCCCCCGTCCTTATCAGAGGTGACGCAACCTTTTCTGACTCTGCCCAGACTCTAAGAATGCTATGACCTGTGGGAGAATTATTAAACTTTATCTTGACTAAGAGATAAAGAGTCATGACCAGTCCTTAACTGTAGAGGTATCTGGGTTCCAATGTTCCTTGGGGTTCTCTCTACCTGAGACAAGCGCCTTCTTCCTTTAGTGGGTTTTCAGACATCTTCTGGCAAGTGTCCAGATTCCAGAAACTTCTTTGCCTCTAGAAGTCACAGGTGCTTGGTAACTGTCTTACCTTAGAAAAGCTAGGTCTGTGACCTGGCCTTCCTGTCACTGCATTCCTGTCTGGAACCGGTGGATGCACTATTACCTTCCACAGGGAGAGAAAAGTGGCTGAGTTCCATTCTGGATTTGCTGTGGTTTGGGATTATGACTGGGATTACTGTTGGGATTAGGGATTTAGAAGATTTAAAAGAGTAACTGACTGATGGTCCTTCTAGTTGACCAAGTATCTGGGTGGGATTAAGAGGTTGTTTGAGCGGCACAGTCCCCGTTGTAGGCCCAGTAGGTAGAAAGTTGGGAATGGGGTTGCCTCTTGACTAGATGGGATGTCTGGAATGTGAGATGATAGATACTCTGAAGCCTTGACTTACAGTCCTTCGCCTGCTGCCTTGGGAGCTGTTTGATTGTGGGGTATGGGTGGAGGGTGAGGAGCACTTTGAATTTGTGGGGTGGGGCTTCCTCAAGATAGGTCAGGACTAATTACTGCCGCTTGAGGACAGGTGAGAAAGCAACTTTTACCATTCCCTCTTCCTCCCCACTGCAGAACTGAAGTAGGGAGAGAAAGCAGAAGAGAGATATGAGAAGGAACCGTGATTTTTTTTTTTTTTTTCCAATTGGATGGGCAGGTGAAGAGCGCCTAGGGGTGGAAATGTTAGATCTTGCAAGATCAGAATCTTGGAATAAAGAAGCCTCTCTGTGCTGCCTGCTGCGTCCAGGATTCTTGCCTGGGAGGATCTGGGAACGGGGTGCAATGGGGGCTGGGGGGGGAAGAATGAGGGTTCATCCCTCCTAGATTCTGCCTTGTATTCTGTGCCCATTCGACCGCCCCATCCCATCAGACACTTTAAATGGCCCTTGTTCTCCCCTTCCCTGCCCTTGCCTTCCGGCTCATTGTGTAGGAACCCGTGACCTCACGAAGTTTGTCCGGAGCCACCTGCATCCTGCTGCTCTGAAGTCACTTCCTGCCCGAGGAATGGAGACAGCAGGGAGCAACCAGGAGGCCACTAATAATACCAAGAGGCTGGGGGATGCATCTGTGCTGGGGATCTTAATGCTTGGGACACCCCCTACCACCACCAAGGAAAATGGATAGGACTTGGGTCCCCTGAGGACAGTAGAGTGTGCATATGGCCGTGAGAAGGTGAAGCATGTGGTTAGAGCCAACAGGCCAGCTCCAGCCCTCCCCCAGCAATGGTGCCTTGGAATCTATCCAGTGCCCAGGGCCTGCCTCTCTCCCACCCTTTCCCTGTCCCGTGTGTGTCCTGGGTGTGCAGCTCTGTTCTGCTGTGGGCAGAGGGTCACAATTCTGTTCAGTTACCTCCCTTTTGGACTTAAATTCCTCATCTGCGAAAGGCAATTAAAGTGGCCTGCAGTTCCTGCCTACATTTTCAGTTTGTGGTTGTGTTTCTCCATCTTAAAACTTATGACCTAGATTAGAAATATTTCTAAGTAAAACATGAAGCAAAGAACTTAAACTAAAACCTCCCTCCCCCTCCCACCCAACTACAGCTTATGCCCTGTCGAAAATGAGACCAGCGGGGCGCCTGGGTGGCTCAGTTGGTTGGGCGACTGCCTTCAGCTCAGGTCATGATCCTGGAGTCCCGGGATCGAGTCCCACATCGGGCTGCCTCCTCAGCGGGGAATCTGCTTCTCCCTCTGATCCTCCCCCTCTCATGCTCTCTGTCTCCCATTCTCTCTCTCAGATAAATAAATAAAATCTTAAAAAAAAAAAAAATGAGACCAGCTAATATTACTTATCCCTGGGTACCTGTCAGGTCCTAAACTAAGCTTTTTTTTTTTTTTTTTAATATTTTATTTGTTTATTTGACAAAGAGAGACACAGTAAGAGAGGGAACACAAGCAGGGGGAGTGGGAGAGGGAGAAGCAGGCTTCCCGCGGAGCAGGGAGCCCGATGCGGGGCTCGACATCAGGACCCTGGGATCACGACCTGAGCCGAAGGCAGACACTTAACGACTGAGCCACCCTGGCACCCTTAAACTGAGCATTCTTGTGCACAACGTTTCTCATTCGACTCCCCTGACAACCCTCCAAAGTAGGTATTATTATCCCTAATTCACAGTTAGGAAAACCAACTGACAGGTTCAACGTCTTAGTGATCCTATGTACTCCATGTACTTAGTGATCCTATATACAACCACATCAATTGCCACGTCCTGGCATATTTCCTGTCAGCCAAAGTTTTGATTCCACTTAACAGAGTTTGGGGGGTATGATTATTTTTATTTCCCACATATAAAATTATAGGGCTCAATATGCTTTTTAAAATTACACAGCCCCCGGGGTGCCTGGGTGGCTCAGCTGGTTAAGCCTTGGACTCTTCATTTCAGCTCAGGTCATGATCTCAGGGTCTTGAGATCAAGACCCATGTCAGACTCCACACTCAGCAAGGAGCCTGCTTAAGACTCTCTCTGCACCCAACCCCCCCCCCACCACCACCACCGACCTGGCGCTCACAGGTGCACTCTCTCTCTAAACAAACAAACAAACAAAAAACAGCTCCCTCCCTGCCCCATCCCCCACTGGTCACTTGTCTGGGTATGAGCCCTTGAGCCCCAGTTGCAAGGTCAGGGTCCTGGGAAGCAGGAATTATAATGAAGAAACAGAAAGCCAAGCCATGAGTGTTATATAGGGTGGAGAGACTGGATACTGGTTGGATCGGAGGGGCTGACCGCTGGGTGATAAGAGCTCGTCTCTTTCGTCAACCCCATCAGGAGATCAAAACCTGCTGTTAGGAAATAGTAAGACCAGAGGGTGGAGGAAAAGGTTTCAGCCCCACCGAGGAAGGGGGGTAGATGGTGCTGGGGAGGCCCTGAGTGCGCTCACGGCCGCCCTTCCTCTCCCGAGTTATTTTTGGTCTCTGTGACTTGTAGATTTCCTGTTAGTGAGGACAGAAGCGACAGGAACTGAGTCGCCACTGCAGACACGAACGCCAGCAGTCCCGCAGTCCGTTCCCCCGGTCTCTTCCTCGGCCCCTGAGCCCCTCGGGGATCCAGGCATCTGGGTTCCAGGGCACTCAGGCGCTAGGGCAGGTATTTCCCTTTGAGTCTCAGCGCAGAACCCCTACGCTCACCACGACCTGACCTTTTGCCACTGGGCCCCTCCTTCAGCAAGCGGGTGTCTTCCTCTCCCGAACCGGCTTAGCCACCACCCACCCCCAGGAACTCCCTACGTGAGGGTCTCGGTGCGGGAATCTGGACGGACTGGCCGGTTAGGTGGAGGGGCGCCGCAACAGCCTCCGGGTAGGTCCCTACGTCACGTGGGGCCCATCGAGTCGGCCTCCCGCGGTCCCCTCCTGACGCATGCGCCCCACTCACGGTCCCGGTCCAGACCCGAGCTCTCTAAGCCCCGCCCCGCCCCTCTGGCTCCACCCCCGGCTCAGGGGTCCCGCTTCCCCCCCCGCGAGCCGTGGACGGGGATGCCGGCCAGGATGGGCAGGTAGCGGACCCTGGCCGCGAGGAGACGGACAACGCACACGGACCCTGGCGCGCCGCAGGGCGGGGGCCCAAAGCCGGGGCCGCCTCCGGGCTCCCGGCTGAACGTCGGGGCCCCGCCCTGCCTCGGCCGGCCCCGGCCCCGACCCGCTGCGCGCGGCCCGCGGAGCCACGCCCCCGGGAACCGCCGGCTCGGAGGCCGCCCGCTCTCCCCACCCAGGTCGCCGGGCGGGGGGCAGGCGCAGGCGCCCCGCGCAGCGTCCCGGCCTCGTCGGTGCCTTCCCCTGCAGCAGCAGCCTGCCCTCCGCCGCGCGGCGGGGCGGCTCGGCGGGCAGAGGCGGAGGGTCCCGCGCCCCGCTCCCGCCCGGGCTGCGCGGAGCGGCGGCAGCCCCGTGCGCCGGCGATGGCGCACCGGGCCGAGCCCCCCGACGGGGGCTGGGGGTGGATGGTGGTGCTCTCCGCGTTCTTCCAGTCGGCGCTGGTGTTCGGGGTGCTCCGCTCCTTCGGCGTCTTCTTCGTGGAACTGGTGGCGGCGTTTGAAGAGCAGGCGGCGCGGGTCTCCTGGATCGCCTCCATAGGGATCGCGGTGCAGCAGTTCGGGAGTGAGTGCCGCGCCGGGGTCCGGCGGCCCGCCACCCTCCCTCGGAAGGGAAGGGGGGTGCGGGGACGCTGGGGAGGAAAGGGCGGGGCCGGGAGGATACTGGCCAAGGGCGCCGGAGAGTCTCTCGCACGACTGCCTTCCTCTTTCTCAGGTCCCGTGGGCAGCGCCCTGAGCACGAAGTACGGGCCCAGGCCCGTGGTGATGGCCGGGGGCTTCTTGGCTGCGTCGGGGATGCTGCTCGCCTCCCTTGCTACCTCCTTGACCCACCTGTACCTCAGTATTGGGCTGCTCTCAGGTGAGGCCCTGGACGAGGGCAGGAGACTTTCACCTTCTTCCTGCCCCTTCCGAGAGGCTTAAGGAGGAGCCGACGGAAAGTTTTGGCTAGCACCTGTGCCCAGGAGGGAAGGAAGTCTTAAGAGCGATGACTAAAGTGATCAACGTGGTGCAGGGATATTGAGAAATTCAAAGATGTCGAGGCCAGAACGTGCAAGCCCAGGGCTGGTGGGGCCGGAGTGTCGAAGCAAGAATCACCATGAAGTTGTGCCAGGCACCGCGGCTTCTAAATAGATACCACCATCCGGTTTACAGACAGACGAAGAAAGGCTCTCCGAGCTTATGTAACTTGGCAGACAGAGATCGCAGGGCCAGAAGTGGCACGGCCCGGGCCAAACTTCCAAAGTTCGGATCTAGTTACTGTGCACACAGTATGTCTAAGTCTCTGCGGTCCCATCAGGTCTATTACCCCCGTCTTGCAGATGAGGAGACCGAGGCTGGGAGAGGAAATAAAATACACAGGGTCGTACAGCTCGAAACCAGGCCTGTGCTGTGTTCTATGGCTGGGCCGTGGTGGGATTTCCGGGGGCCCTGGGTGCCCTAAGAGGCCCCCAACCCCTATTTCTTCCTTTCTGACAGGCTCTGGCTGGGCCTTGACCTTCACTCCGACCATGGCTTGCCTGTCCCGTTACTTCTCTCGACGGCGATCCCTGGCCACAGGGCTGGCACTGACCGGCGTGGGCCTCTCTTCCTTTGCCTTTGCCCCACTTTTCCAGTGGCTGGTCAGCCGCTATGCCTGGCGGGGGGCCCTGCTGCTGGTGTCTGCCCTCTCCCTCCACCTGGTAGCCTGCGGCGCTCTCCTCCGCCCACTGTCCCTGAGGGAGGACCCTGTCACTGGCGGCCCTGGGGCCCAGCTCACCTCCCTCCTACATCACGGCCCCTTCCTCCGTTACACTGCTGCCCTCACGCTGATCAACACTGGCTACTTCATTCCCTACGTGCACCTGATGGCGCACCTCCAGGACCTGGATTGGGACCCACTGTCTGCTGCCTTCCTACTCTCGGTCGCGGCCATTTCTGACCTCGTGGGACGTGTGGCTTCTGGGTGGCTAGGAGATGCCGTCCCAGGACCTGTGGCACGACTCCTGATGCTCTGGACTACCCTGACTGGGGTGTCACTGGCCCTGTTCCCCGTGGCTCGCGCTCCCACGGTCCTGATGGCTCTGGCCGTGGCCTATGGCTTCACATCAGGGGCCCTGACCCCGGTGGCCTTCTCCGTGTTGCCTGAACTGGTGGGGACTGGAAGGATATACTGTGGCCTGGGCCTAGTACAGATGGTCGAGAGCATCGGGGGGCTGCTGGGGGCTCCTCTGTCAGGTAAGGGCGATTGGGTTTCCTGTGGGGGGGGGCGGTCACGGCTGCCGTGTCATGCAATTTGGGGAGGGGACGAATAATTACGTTATAGTGTACGTGAATATTGCCCTCTGGAATGGCACAGAACACAGCCTGCCTGGCCAAACATAGCGGCCCCGAAGTGGGTCCATGGGGCAAGGAAATGGGGGCTGTGGAAAGACTCCGAGGAGTTATGAGGGCCCCTTAGCAGGGTATCTACAGGTTGGGTGTGCAGAGGACCTGGCTGGACTTGGCCAGATGTAGCCTGCAGGTGTCTGGCCTTTGCCTTGGCCTACTGGGCCCCAGCCCAGGTGTCTGAGCTGTCGGGTCAAAGTTCTCCACGGCCCAGATGCCAAAACCTTCAGACCCGTAACTTTCTCCTCTTAACTATTAACTGAAAGTGTAGACGGAGGGCCACGGTTGAAATTACCCTCTGGAAATTACCTGTAGAAACCTTGGGGATGCCAGAATTCTCGAGCTCATCCAGTCCTGCCCAGTGAGTTCGAACTCTTCCGAGATGATGCGCTAAGGATTACGTTCTTCCCTTCATCGCGCTCAGGAACTGGGTCACCCACATGTGTTCTTCTTCTCTCTTGGACCTAGGCTACCTCCGGGATGTGACAGGAAACTACACAGTTTCTTTTGTAGTGGCCGGGGCCTTCCTTCTTGCAGGGAGTGCCATCCTCATCACTCTGCCTCGCTTCTGCTCCTCGACCTCCACCTCCAAGCCCCGGGACCTTGTCACAGAGGCAGTGGATACCAAAGTCTCTCTGACCAAGGAAGGGCTGGGAGAGGACTGAACTGCAAAAAGGGGCTGTCAGGCCCAGAGAGCTAGAGCTTGGCAGCTCCAGATCTTCTCCTCCTGGCCCATCCTGGTGCCCACAGAACCACAGTGCCTTAAGCATCTTGAACTGCCTCCCCGCAGGGCAGGCCTGTGGTGGGGGGGCGGGTCCTGCGCTGCGTGTGCCAACCCCTAGTATTTTGTCGAGGACTCTCATCCCTTCTTTGCTCCTATAACCTTTTCCTAAGGATCCAGGAGCTCAGTCTGCTCCCCTGAGCTGTGAGTCAGCTGTGAAAACCAAAGGCCAAGAGACTTAATGTGTTTTACGTGTGATCTCTACTATTACCTACCAACTTCCTTCTCTGCAGGCAGATGTTGGGGAAAGGGGGATGCCCTTTTGAGATAAAACTGAATAAGGAGACCGGATAATCGTCAGGATCTCAAAAAGAGCTGGGGCCCATACGCTTGGGTTGGCTGAATAGTCTCGTGGCTAGGAAGTGGAGGGGAGGTACCCACTTTGACCATGGACTCTGCTGTCTGGACCACAGTCCCTCCGTCTGGCCCACTATCCCCTGTGACTTAGAAGACAGTAGTGGGGACACGGGGTGGGGGTGACTTGGGAGGGGGAGCTAAAGCTATGAGAGCTGAAGTCTGGTCCAGCATTTCCCTCAGGCCAGTGGAAGGAGCCTGAAATGCAGGGAAGAGTTAGCTGGGGGGGGTCTAGGTGGGGCAGATGACCTCCTCCTGAGCCCCCACCCCCAACACACTGAGGCTGACAGGTAGGCAACTTCTCAGAGTTTACCTGTTTTGTTTTTATTGTTTTTTGAGAGAGAGAAAAGAAGAGTGACGGTGGAAGAGAGGCAGAGGGAGAGAGAGAGAGAGAGCGCAAGAGAGCGCGAGAGTCTTAACCAGGCTCCATGCCCAGCGGGACCCCGAGATCCTGACCTGAGCCAACATCAAGAGTCAGAGGCTTAACTAGATTGAGCCACCCAGGCGCCCCCTTGAATATCTTACGGAGAAAGAATGTTTTCAGCCTCCTAGATAGGCTAACAGTTGGAGTTTGCAGGAAACTGGATAGAAATTCTTTACTGGGGGCGTGGCTCAAACTAATGGTCAACAAGCAGTGTCCAGAGTGGATTGAGGGCCTCCAGGGGAAAGCAGGGCAACTTGAGGAGCGGGGAGCAGCTCCCCCCTCTCGGGGGGAGGGCTGGCCGGCCGGGAGGCTGGCCGGCAGGAGGGCAGCGCCCCCGGCAGCCCCATGTAGATGAAGCTGCCAGAGAGGATGAAAGAGCCGCAGGTGAGGAAGGAGGCCGTGAAATCTCCCGTCTCGTCCCTTAGGAAGCCTGTGAGGAAGGGGAAAGGCATTTAGGGGCCTGGGATCCAGGGGTAGAGGATGGTTGCTTGCGGATGTGTTCGCTCAGGCCCTTACCTGAGAGCGGAGGGCCCAGAAGCCCCCCAAGGCTCATCAGCATCATCACCAGCCCCGTGGCCTGGACGACACCTCCGACGCCCACTAGCCCCGGGAGCACGCCGAAAACCAAGGGCGCGTAACTTCCGGCGCTGAGCCCGTAGACCCCAGCCGCCGCCAGCAGGGGCCCCCCGCAGCCCTCCCGGCTCCCCACCAAGGGCACCAGCCCCACGGCCAGCAGCCCCAGGCCGGTCAGAGCCCCGAACACCGCCAGCAGCCGCGAGAGGGGCACCCAGCCCCGGTCCGCCAGCCAGCCGCTGAGCAGCCGCGCGCCCGCGTCCCCCAGCGCAGCCGCCGTCACCACCAGCGCGGCCCCGTAGCCGCCCAGGCCCCCGTCTAAAGCGTGAGGGGCCAAGTGCACGTAGGGCACGAAGTACCCGCCCCCCACCAGGGCTGTGCCCAGAGCAAAAACTAAGAAGGCCCGGCGCGCGAAGAGATCCAGGCCGAGGGCAGCTAAGGGCCCGCGGGGTGGGGCCGGGGGGTCGCCAGGGAGCACCAGGGGTCGCAGCAGGGCGCCACAGGGGGCGAGGTGGAGGGTAATGGCGCCGAGGAGGAGCAGGGCGCCCCGCCAGCCGAAAGTATCAAGGAGCAGCTGCAGGGTGGGCGCCAGGAGCAGCGAGGAGGCCCCGTTGCCCGTGAGGGCCAGCCCCACGGCCAAGACTCGACGGCGGGAGAAGTAACGGGACAGGGTCCCGAGGGCCGGGGCGAACACCAGGGCCCAGCCAGAGCCTGCGGACGGACAGGACCGGGTGAGGACAGGGACCTGGGATGCCCGCCCCAGCGATCCCAGCCCTGCTCCTCGCAGGGGGCCCCGCCCCTCGGGCCTCCAGCCCCCAAGAAGCGCCCCTCGCCAACATCACCCCTTAAGGACCCGGGTATCCCTCTCCCCTCACCAGCGAGGACGCCCAGGCCAAGGTAGAGGTGCAGCAGACTGCGGGCGAAAGCCGAGAAGACGAAGCCCAGCGAGGTGAGGACGCCCCCAACCATCACCACCGGGCGCGCCCCCCAGCGGGTGCTCAGGGCGCTGCCCACTGGGCCTGGAAGGGGGCGGAGTCAACGGAAGACACGCCTCTGCACCCCCAAACTTGATCCAGCACTTCTCCTTGGCGGCCTGCCAGGCCTAAAACTTCTCCCCCGGCCTAATAGCTCCTCCCCTTGACCTCAAGACCCTCTCTTTTCTAGGACTCGGTCCCACCGGGCGCTCTTTTCCCGGTTGTCTGGTCATCAGGTGGGTCCTCCATCACTACACACACACTCCGCCAATCCACCCCGGTTCCCGCCTCCCACCTTGGGGCCCCCCTCACTGGCTGCCTGCTGCACCGCCAGGGCCAGGGCGCTGACCCACGCAGTGTCCTGAGTGCTTCGGTCAAAGTGCTCCGCGAGGTCAGGCAGGGCAAGGCCCAGGGAGCGCAACAGCCCGTAGGAGAGCCCATTCACCGCGAAGGCTGCGGCCGCCACCACCCAGCCCCAGCCCCCGTCCGGTCCGGGAGGCTTGGGGGTCATCGCCGTCTGGGGAAGGGGGAACACACCACGTCCGTGCCTCCTCGAGGGTCCTGGGCGTCCCTGAGATCCAGGTTCTGGCTGCTGGCCCAGGGTGGGCACGTCACCCGGAGCACGGCAGGGCGGGGCGGAGGGAGTGGGAGCTAGGCCTGGGGATACATCCCCAGGGCCCGCGCGAGCTCCCGGGACCGGGTGACAGCGGGTCCCCCGGGCCTGGGACTCCCCCTCCCACACGCACCCCTTCCCCCTTACCCGACCTCTCTGGGCGGTGGGGGGAGGGGAAGGGCGAGGAGCAGCTCGGCCAGGTGTTCTCCCCGCTTCCTGCGCGGGCGGGGCCCCAGGGGGGAGCGAGCGCCGAGTTAGAGCCCCACCTGGACCGGCTCTCTAGGTAAACAGAGATCACCACCGGGGGCCGGAGCCACCTGGGACGCGGAGGTGCGGAGGGCGGGGGGAGCTGACACCGTCAGCCAATCGGCCGAGCGGCGGGTGAGGCCAGGCGCTGAGTCCCACGGGGATTGAATTATCCACACACACACCCCCACCCCCCGCGGAGGGAGCGGGGAGAATGAAGGCGGCCCCGCCCGGCTCAGGCCCACGCACCTGCCGCCCGCCCCTCGCGGAGGAGACGCGTGGACTGCGATCCCCAGCAAACGCAGGGCCCGTAGGCAACACTTGGAAATAGGAGTGATCCCCCCAAGGCCTGCCGCGATGAGTACTTTTGTTCTCTGGGAACTTTGCTGGGGGACCAGGCAATTCTCGTATATCAAGTCACTGACCTCCATTGAATGCTTGTTCCTTGCTCAACAATCGCCGGCCCTCAAGGGCGGAGCGGGAGGAAGAGGACTCCCTCATTATGAGGAGCTGTGATGTGCCAGGCACTCGACCCACGCCACCTGCCCACCAAGAAACCGCCGAGGAAGGTGTCATGCCCATTTTACAGATGAAGTCACTGGAGAGTAGAGAGGTTAGGTGCTTTGTCCCCAAAGCACCCACCTTAAAGATGGTGGAAATGTTTGAATTTGGATCTGTCCAGCTGCAGAAGGTACAGGGAGAACAGACCTAGGACTGAAATAGACTATGCCCCAGTCGGGGGACTGGCCAGGGTACAATTTGATCCTCACTGGCCTGGAAGGATCCCTGGGATCAGAATCGCTGAAGATTTAGATCCGGAGTTTTAAAACAAGATAAGAGGGGCGCCTGGGTGGCTCAGTTGGTTAAGCGACTGCCTTCGGCTCAGGTCATGATCCTGGAGTCCCGGGATCTGGTCCCGCATCGGGCTCCCTGCTCGGCGGGGAGTCTGCTTCTCCCTCTGACCCTCCCCCCTCTCATGTGCTCTCTGTCTCTCTCATTCTCTCTGTCTCAAATAAATAAAATCTTAAAAATAAATAAATAATGTATAAAACAAGATAAGAAATCCGAGAATTGAACCCAGGCACGGATTTCTTGGAAAATTTGATTTAAAAGGATCCTTTCCACATTAGGGTTAGGTTGCTTCACTTGAGCTATTCGAATCAAGAGATGTGTTCTTTGGTTTAATGATTACACAGTATCAGAAAATTTGGCCCTGCACAGCTTGGAGCCGGTATCAACCCAGAGCCACACGGTGGCAGTGTTTCCTAGTTGTTGAGAAAATATCTGCAAATTGCAGGAGAACAACCCCATTTCTCGACTTTGGATATCAGGCTTTTCACCACCGAAGGAACCCTCCCTCCCCATTCCATCACCCTCCCCTCTGTCCGGCGCCCTTCCATGGGCGTCAGCCAAATCGCCTCACCTGCTCCAAGGACATGCCTAGCTTTTCTCACTCCTGAATTGGTGCATCTGCCATCCCCTCTCCTTGAAATGTCCTGGATGGGGAACAGGCGTCCTTGAGGGTGGACGGTCCTGCCACGGACGCCCTAGTAAAGTGGTCTCACTGGTTTCCCCAGCCTGGGCTGCTGCTGTGGGAGACGCCTGGCAGATCCTCAGCCACTGGGGGTGGAACAGGAAGCCTACTTCCGGAATTGGCTGCTGAGGACTCAGGCAAGCAGAGCCCTGCCCCCCTCCCCAACCTGAAACAAATCACACCCTCTCCACCATGGAGTTAACATGCCTCATGCAGCCAAAGAGGAGACTGGGCCCCTTGGGTCTGGGAATTGGACAAAGCAATGCTGAGCACCTTCACAGGATACTTAGGAACCCAGAGTCTTCCGTCCCAGGCTCTGGGACCAGGGTGATTGGTCATCAAAGGGCCCGGTCCTCTTCTACATCATGTTCCGTATATTCTTAGCCAAAACAACCATCACTATGCATCTTTTGCTCATGGAGCTAACACAGCATTGAGGCTAGGAGAATGGATGCCCAAGCTGGACTCTCTGGGTTTGACTCCCAGCTCTGCCACCTATCCGCCGTAGGGCTGTAAGCAAGTTACGCGCCTCAGCTTCCTCATCTCTACAATGGGGCTCATAATAGTAGCCACCTGGTAGGGTTGGTATGCGGATGCAGTGACGTGGTGAGTGGTTTTCTTAGCATTTTCCAAAGTTTGTGAGAAAATGCTTTCTCCCCATCTCGACTCTAAAAACAAAAAAGGAGTCAAATTAAGTTTTGTTCACTCGCTCCTTCGTACAAAATATTTATAGACACCTATACCATGCCAGATTATATGCTTAGTGCTGGGGATACAACTATGAATGATTCAGTCTCTCCCCTCCGAGCCCCCCATGTTCAAATTAGGGAAAAGGTGAAATGCAGAGAGCCCAAGACAAGGAGAGGGACACAGACACCACAGGGTGCTACATGGGAGGAGCTGACTCATTCTGCTCTCGGGACTGCTGGGAAGGCTGCACAGGAGAGGAGCCCTTTACGCGGGGTCTTGAAGGATGAGTAGGAGTTTGCCAGATGGTTGCGTGGGCAGGGGCATTCCAGGCAAAGGGAGAAGCTTGTGGAAAATCACAAAGGCACGAACCAGCTTGGCATATTCTTTATTGTTTGCGGAGCTGCAAATAGCTCTGTGGAGATGAGAGAGCGTATAGGAGGATTGCGTAGGGCAGAGGTCTTGAAGGCCAGGCTAAGGAATTTAGAGGTTTCCCCGGAGACTGATGCTTCTCAAAAATTTCCACTGATGTAGCAATCACTAGTATTCAGTAATATTCGGCGCTAAACAGACAATGGGGACTCACACCAGTCGGAGGGGGCAGGAGAGTCTGGGGTTAGACACCTTTTCTTGATGTGAGAAATTTCTTTGAAACATCTTATTGTACATTGAAAATTCTTGCTCAGCGGGGAGCCTGCTTCTCCCTCTACTGTTCCCCCTGCTTGTGCTCTCTCGCTCTGTCAAATAAATAAATAAAATCTTTTTAAAAAAAGAGAGAAAGAAAATTCATGTGGAAGTTTGCATCCTACTTCATTCTACTTCATAATCTTTTATTTTAAGTTTCATTTATTTAAGTAATCTCTATACCCAACATGGGGCTCAAACTCACGACCCCGAGATCAAGAGTCGCAGGTGCTTCCCACTGAGCCAGCCAGGCGCCCCTCTACTTCATAATGCGTAGGAAAACCACTCTTTATTTTTTTTTATTTTTTTATTTTTTAAAGATTTTATTTATTTATTCATGAGAGATAGAGAGAGAGGCAAAGGCAGAGGGAGAAGCAGGCTCCCCGCCGAGCAGGGAGCCCGATGCGGGACTCGATCCCAGGACCCTGGGATCATGACTTGAGCTGAAGGCAGATGCTTAACCGACTGAGCCACCCAGGCGTCCCGGAAAACCACTCTTTAAATAACTAAATAAATTATTTCCGTTTTTCTGCCCAGGTCCCCACTGGTGGTGGTGTGGGGAGGGGGGGAGTCCCCCTGCCAGAAGTCATGCCCCGCCCCCACCCACTGTGAATCTGCAGTGGATGCCCCCCCTGCCCACCTCACCCCCCTCGGAGCCTTCTCAGCCTGCAGGGACATCATCCATCTTGGTCTTCTGTCCCTCGTCCCCACGTAGCCCTGGAGGTGGGACCTTACGTGACTGATCTCTGGGGAAAACTGGCTGAGACAGAACTGAGCCAGAGACTCGTGGACTGAGCAGACCCAGGGCCTGGTGCTCCACGGGTTGGGGTGGGATCGTAAGGAGTGGTTCCAGTGGACCAGACCGGTCGTGCCTGCCCATAGGGAGAAAGCCCCAGGAGCAGGTGCTGGGCCAGGTCAGGTCTTTAGAGAGGGTCAAAGTCTGTACATAATGTGCTTTGGGGACCATGAGGTCTGCAAGTGTGTCTGTGTCTGTGAACTCTAAAACTGCTTTGGGATTTTCTCATGGGAACACCTGCAGGAGGCTCAGCGGGGAGGTCCTGAGCTGGGCCCAGCCATTCCCAGGGTCCACCTGCTGAGGGCTGGGGGGCCCTCTGCAGAGGTAGGTGGGAGAGACGGGGAGAGGCAAAGAAACATGGCTCTCCTTGAGACACACAGAAAGAGGAGGCTTTCCGGAGTTTGGCCCAGCTGACCTTGGGCTTC